GTGGAGCAAGCATCGCATGCAGCCACTTCTAATGTACCCCCTGCGGGTTCTCCCTCTACCGAGCCTCATGCAGAACCACATCATGCAGCGGAAGTTTATCTTGGACGCGGGTTACGTGTCAAACGTTCATCTGTTTTGTTGCATGATTTTGTTACACACCATGTCCGGAAATATAGTCCATCTCCACCTACACCATCTCCTCTCGGTTCCTCAGGTACGCCATATCCTTTAGCACACTACATAAATTGTGAAAAAATTTCTCTCCGTCATCGCATGTTTCTTAGAGCTATTCTTGCAGGACAAGAACCCCGCTCTTTCCGCGACGCCATGAAGGATCCAGGTTGGCGTGATGCCATGCAAAATGAAATCAGGGCTCTTGAAAACAACCACACGTGGGATATGGTCCGACTACCTCCAGGAAAGAGAGCACTTAGTTGTAAATGGGTCTACAAAATAAAATACCACTCTGATGGAACGGTGGAACGATTGAAGGCACGGTGGAACGGCTGAAGGCACGATTAGTAGTGCTTGGCAACCATCAGCGAACATGTATTGATTGCACAGAAACTTTTGCCCCTGTTGCCAAATTGGTAACTGTACGTGTTTTTTAGCGGTTGTTGCGGCTAAAAATTGGGAGTTACATCAGATGGATGTACACAATGCCTTTCTTCATGGGGATTTGGGTGAAGAGGTTTACATGAAGCCTCCGCCCGGATTTTATTCTTCTCGGCCATCTACTATTTGTAGGTTAAAAAAATCCCTGTATGGATTGCATCAAGCTCCTCGTTGTTGGTTTGCCAAACTTGCTACTTCCTTGCGGAATTATGGCTTCAGTCAGTCTAAATCTGATTATTCTTTGTTTACATATCGTCAAGATGATGTACGGATACATGTTCTTATCTATGTGGATGACCTAATTGTTGCTGGAAATAATTCGGTTGCATTATCTCGATTTAAGCAATATATGCATACTTACATGAAGGATTTGGGACTTCTTAACAGGGGCGGATCTACAGCTTCAATAGAGGGGGCAGCTGCCCCCAATAAATGGTCACTGATCTCTTGTAATCCATTGGGAATTATTCTAATCCATTTAACTGCCCCCAATTTAAAAAAGGAAATGCCCCCATTAACCAGCCCTGTAGCCAATTCAAATAATTCATTAAATTCAATGCTCAAAATCCTATCTAAAATACGGAGTACTTTTCACTTTTTAAGCATTTTTAGTAGGGACGTTTAAATCCCAAAACCAGAACTAAAAGTATTTTTATTTAGACTGTTTTCAGTCCAAGATCAGACTTTAACAGATCAGACCATATGAGACTTAAACAGACTAGACCAGATCAGACTTAAACAGACCAAACCAGACTTGGCTTTCGTAATTATAAAAATACACGAAGACCGGACTAGGCCAGACCAGTTCAGACCAGACAAGACGAGACCAGACTTAAACAGACTAGACTAGACAAGCAAACTACAGTCCTAGTAAAAACATCATAAATAGTATGCAAACTGGATTGTTGGACTCGGCGGGTGGCTCGATTGAAGCAAACTGAATGATTTTTTGATCGGAAATTTGAATAAAATCTCACATTGAAACATTTATGTATAGTTAAGGTACCGTTTTGATTCATTTAAGAGTTAAGGTACCAAAATGCAACATTACCAATAGTTAAGACACCATTTATGCATTTGACCCATTTGAAAGCTAGACAACTGCGGTGAGAGATCGGAAGTGCTCCTAGAAGAGGCAAAAGACAAATAGCGTCGGGAAAATCGAAACTCTTGCTCTTCGACATTGCAAAATCGAAATTTTTTGCTCTATTGAGTATTAACTCTTTGACTATTCTATATTTTGTATAATTTGTATATGTTGTTTAAGCCAAAAGTGTAGATTTAATCAGCAAGCCTTCTAGCATTTTTAGGGGTAAACAAAATAATAAAATTTATCCTAATTAATGAAAATGTTAGTTAAAACCATTGTTCTAACACTTTCTAGGCGCTTTCAGGTGATTGAGGGACGCCTAGCGTCTAGGCGGTCGACTAGGTCTATTTTTTAATTGATTAGCTCGATTAGTCCTCTAAAGTTAGGGTAATAGAAGATTTACGATATAAAAAGTACATAGTCATTACTATGCAAAAAATTAAGTATACTTTTTAATAAAATTTATGGGCAGATTTTTGAATAAAACATCCGACTCGATCAGCACCGGCCTTAACACCGGTGACCAGTTTTTGAAATAGTTTATTTATAGAGAGATAAATATTCGAAAACACCAGTTGTGATTTATTTTATTTGGGGCTTTTTTATATTGTAATATACTTTATTTAATTTTGAAGGATTTAACTTTTGTATTTTTTGCCCCCAATAGCCTTGTATCCTGGATCTGCCACTGCTTCTTAAGTATTTTCTGGGAATCGAGGTGGCTCGAAGTGCTGAGGGCTTGTTTCTTTGTCAACGTAAATATGCCCCAGATATTATATGTGAAGCTGGTCTTCTTGGTGCTAAACCATCCTCTTGTCATATGGAGCAAAATCATTCTTTGGCATTGGCCATGGGCGACTTAATTTCTGACCCTGAATCATACCGCCGCCTTGTGGGCAGGCTTATTTATTTATCTTTTACTCGTCCGGACTTGGCCTATGATGTCCATATTCTATCTCAGTTTATGCAGGCTCCCCGACAGGAACATTGGCATGCCGCTATTCGTGTTGTTCGGTATCTTAAAGGTGCACCCGGCCAGGGCATACTTCTTCCTTCTTCCTCGGACTTACGACTCACGGCCTGGTGTGATTCCGATTGGGCAAGTTGTCCTCTTACTCGTCGCTCGTTCACTGGTTGGTTAATCTTCCTCGACGGTTCTCCTATCTCTTGGAAGACTAAGAAGCAGCATATGGTATCACGTTCTTCTACGGAGGCGGAATACCGGTCTATGGTCGCGGTTACTGCAGAGCTAAAATGGCTCAAGGGTCTTCTTCTTTCTCTCGGCGTCATTTATCCTCGACTGATGTCTCTATTCTGCGACAGCTGCTCTGCTCTTCACTGTGACACTTCAAAAATTTAAATAAAAATAAAAATAATTTTTAGTCAGATAAAATATTACAAAAATAACATTTTTGTAATTAATTGAGTCAGACAAAAAATTCAGCAGTTGTAACATTCTAATCAGATAAAAATTTTAAAATTTATGACGTTTTAGTCAGATAAAAATATTTCAGTAATAAGAACAACATTTTATTAAACAAGTGAACCAGACAGAAAATTTACATTTTGCGACACTTTTAGTCTCATAAAAATGGTCCGATAATAGAAGTAACGTTTTAGTATAAAATTAACTTTTATATATATTTTAAGTTAAGTATAAAATGCACAAATACAATAATATAATAAATAAAATAATATACAATATATATACTCCGTATATACTCCTAATACGTAAACTACAAAACAATTAGAGTATAAAATACTACATATAATATGCAAGCATAATAAACAATGTGAGTCAAAGACTCCACATACAATACTATAACCTGGAGTACAAACAAAATAAAATACTCCATATACGAGTATATGAGGCCGTTGCTACGCATGTCATACACTCCAACTTGAAGAAGAATCCTAAGCATGTGAAGAAACCTGCGTGGCTGCGTGCTGATTATAGGTATATAAATATACACAATCACTTATACATATACACACTACACCGTTTGGGAAGGAACGAGTGCGCCGAAGGAGGAAAAGGGAACGATCATCGCCGGAGTGTATGCAGTCGCAAGACGGCCGGACTGGTTCGACGGAGGGAGGAGTTCACCGGACTGAAACATCTCCTCGGAATATCTAGCCGTTCACACCGGCAAAGTAGAAGCCGCTTGACCACCGTCCTCTCGCAGAGGGAAGTAACGCCGGAAGGAGCATCGTCGGACTGGTTCACACCGGAGTGCTGGCCTGGTTCACACCGGAGAGCCTCGCAGGTCGCAACATGTTGCTGGACGACGTTCTCACGTTTTTAACGATAATTGCTGCGGATAGAGGAATACGCCGGGATCACCGCCGGACTGGTATCTGGACTATCGCCGGAGTACTGCCGCCGACTGAAGAAGTCGCTAAACGAATTCATATGAATCGATTTTGTACACAGATTTCTAAAGGTAGTAAAGAGTCGAGCCTTCTGAGGTAATGTTCCCCTCCAAGATCACGAAGCTGGTTCCGCTACTGCTTGGACAACGACAATTTCTTTTTCTTCTCAGCAAGTTGGCAGTTTTAATCCATATGCTCCAACTTGAGGGGTGGGGGGTGTTATGGGCTTATTATTATTTGTATATTTAATATTTCATATTAGTCTCAAATGTAATTAATGGGCCAAGGGTTCACATTGTACATATATATAATGTATTTACGTATGAATAGGAAGGCAGAGGTTTTAAGATTCCCATTTTATTTGGCCGCACTCTAACGGGTGAACATTACTTTACTTTTTAATTTAATTTTCTAAGCGATATACATACTTTAACTTTAGCCATGAATATAAAGAAATGAAGTTGTAAATTAAGACAAACCTATATGTATACCTAAATTTTATCATTATTTATATTTATAAGTTTTATAACATAATGTGTTAAGTGATTAGTTATCATATACTACCTCCGCCCCGCTATGATTGTCTCATTTTACCTTATCGATCCGTCCCACTGAGATTGTCCCATACCAAATTTGGTAAAGTTTGTGTGGCTCTAAATCGTTCTTACTTTATTCTTACTTTATCAATTTAATATCAACCACATAAAACACTTTTTATTAATTTGCGTGTCACTCCCTCTTGTCCCATTGTTAGCGGGACGGAGGGAGTACTACGTATAATTAAATGTGATAATTCAATCATTTATGTTTGTTAATATATATGTATACATGTATTTTATACACACAAAAATACAATATTACTTATCATATTTATGCAAAAATATAGATAAAAATGCAATTTCTTTATTTCCTACTAGTCACCGTTCAGGCGCCCGCCTAGCCGCCTAGGCCCCGGAGTGGCACCGAATTCCTTTCTTCCTTTACAATTAACAATAACATTGGTAATCGTTATTGAGCCGGAAATGCAGAATTCCTTTCTTCCTTTACAAGCGCAATGCCCATGCTTCGGTTCATCGCCGTCACGTTTCCCGTGAAAATTCCTTACCCAAACCTCTCACTCTTTCTTCTTCAAATGCCACACGAAAAAGTAATTAAGAACGCTATAATTAAAGACACTCTCAGTTTTGTTTGTTCCTTTCTTCCTCGCTCACATGATTATAGCCTGTTGTCGTTTTTCTGATCGCGTGGGGATACTTTATCTTTCATGTTCGTGATTTAACAGGTCGCTGATGATGATGAGCCGATCCAGGATGATTCTAAGGCTTTACTTTTGCATTTGATTTTTGAGTTCTCAAACTCCATAAATTTGACTCCGATCTGAAGGTTAGTGTTGGGGGAGGTTCTGTATTCGAACAAGCAAATCTTTGCAAGAGAGAGAAAATTATTGTTATTTAGATAGACTGTGCAGGAAGAGATGCTTCAGTGTATGTAGAAGAGGAAGTACGAGTTCTGCAGATGCCGGTGACGAAGATTCTACCGATCAGTTCGCGAGCTCAGGCAGAGGCATCTATTCGTAATGACTCCTCTAAGCCGATTACGAAATCTCGATTCAAGCGACTTTTTGATCGGCCGTTCCCAAGCGTTCTGCGGAATTCATCTGCGGCGGAAAAGCTCAGCGCTGCCCATGTACCTGGTGGTGAGTTGCTTCACGGCAAGGAAGGATTTTCAGCGGTGGTGGCTGAATACGAGCCGAGCTCTGTTTGCCTGACGAAGATGGTTCACAATTTCATGGAGGAGAGCAACGAGAAGCTGCCGCCGAAGGCCGTGAAGTGCGGACGCAACCGCTGCAATTGCTTCAACGGCAAAGGCGACGACAGCTCCGATGACGATTTTGACTTCACTACCTTCGGATCTCTTGCCAACTCTTCCGATTCTCTCAAGGTTCCTTAATTTCTAGAAAATGCTAATTCCAAATCATGGTTATGATCAATCGTCCTCTGATCGATTTATGATTTATTTTTCATGTTACAACAATTCAGAGTTTAGTTCTTTGTGCGACGGTTTCCGAGAGAAACATATTAGCAGACGCCTCCAAAATTGTGGACAAGAACAAAACATTCAAATGTAATAAAGAAGAATCCAGAAAAATCGTCGCCAAAGGCCTCTTATCTCTAGGCTACACCGCTTCTATCTGCAAATCCAAATGGGAAAGCACCTGCTCCATTCCAGCAGGTTTGTATATGTGTAATATGCGTGCTTAATCTGTTACAATTGGACTTTAAAATTTATAAATGGTTTGTTTAGGTTTTGAAAAGATTTTTTCATAACCTGTAGGTGAATATGAATTTATAGATGTAATTGTTGAAGGAGAAAGGGTGTTCGTGGACCTAGATTTTCGATCGCAGTTTGAGATCGCGAGGTCAACGGGAGGTTACAAGGCCATTTTACAGTTGTTGCCGTTCATATTCATCGGAAAAACTGACCGGCTTCTGCAGATCGTGTCGATTGTGTCGGAAGCCGGGAATATGAGCTTGAAGAAAAAAGGGATGCATATCGCACCATGGCGTAAAGCCGAGTACATGAAAGCCAAGTGGCTCAGCCCTTGCAGCCGCACTTCTCCGCCTGAAGCGGAAGCTGAGCGAATAGCGATAGAGATCGAAGCTGGAGCTGAGACCGAGGGTGATGAGTTAGATATCATTTTCGGAGATAAAGCGACGTGTCTCTGTACAAACAAGATAATGCCTTTATCGGTCTCACCCCCACCAGAGAAGTGGGATGTGGTAAAATGGCAACCACCGGAGAGAAAGCCCAAAGGCAGTGAAAAAGCCAACAAGATTGTAGTCACTGGATTGACAGCCCTCCTCAAGGACAAATACTGCAAATTACCGAGCAGTAGAGAGTAATTGGGTTTGAAAATTGCTATTCGTACACGTTCTCAGTTCTCTACACGTGTACATTGTACCCGTCGTTTTTTATCCGTGAACATGCTATTTTTGTAAAGAGAATGGTTTACGAGATAGATACATAATCTCTTTACAATAATAACGTGTTCACGGATAAAAATTGACGCGTACTAAGGTGTGTACCAGAAACAATTTTTTTTATACTCCGACAAAGAAGTTCCTAACTATTTGAGTACTCCCAAAATATGTCAAGAGAGGGAGAGATGAGTAGACTTTTCAATCGGCATCTTTTTTGCTTCCTTTCTGTATTGATATTTCTTGCAAATAGATTTTAATGTAATTATGTAATGGTAATATATTAACTAGTATAGTACTCCTCAGATGCATGAGTGATTACATTTAATGATGTGTGAAATATATATTTAAAAGCGAAAATAACTAACGATTCAAAACATAAACTATTATTCTTTTACATACTGTGAAATATTTTGAGTGCTATGCTTACCTTTTTTGTCAAAAATAACATATCATTGAACATTGTATTCTCAATATTTGTTGAGGAATGTTCAGGTCCGAACATTCTCCATCCGAGCACCGTCCGAACAACGTCGTTCAGGGTGGTTCCGGTGGAATTTTTTGATGAAATTTTTATAATATGTTTTTCATCAAGTCTAGTTTATACACAAAAAAATTCAGCTCAAAATTCGATCGGGAAGACCTTCAAATTATTTTTTTGAAGTTGACTGCGCCAAATTATACATAGAAAAACGCAGTCAACTTCACAAATTCATTTGAAGTCCTTCCCGATCCTATTTTGAGCTGAAATATTTTTTGGATAAACTAGACTTGATGAAGAACATACCATAAAAATTTAATCAAAAAATTCCACCGGGAACCGCCCCGAACGGGAGTGTTCGAACGGTGTTCAGACGGGGAATGTTCGGACCTGAACATTCCTCATATTTGTTTCATTACATACTTGTGTTTTTTAAGAATGTTATATTTTCAATATTTGTCATTATGTTGAGGGTTATTCCTCTCAATCTAAGGGTCCAACACTTTATCTTAGGCTTTCGTTGGATATTAATCAACTTGATATATTTAGGTGATTACTTAGTAATTCAAAGGCACAAAACAATAGTAAGAGGGAGTTGGAGGTAAGTGGGCCAAGTTCTATTGAAGACTTAGAACAATTACAACACACTCTATCGAGGCGAGCATCGAACCTCTATTTTTTTAATCAGGTGAGTGAAACCACTTAGGTCAGTGGATTAAATGCCAGAAAATATTTACCTGATTTATTAATCTAAACCTGATCATCAACAAGGATCAAACCTGCACGGGACGCCAATCCTCTCTTCTAAGCTAAGAGTACACAGAAGAAGTAAAGAGAAGGACTAAAACTATTGAATACAAGTTGCTGATATTGTTGTATTTTTATTATGTATTGTTGCACTTAATTAGTTTCATTGTTTGTCATTGCGAAAATTACACACTTTTGGTATAACTAGTTTATTTTTGAAAATAGATGTAATTTGTTTAGATTATGATTATTCTGAGCTAAAAATAGGTCAAGATCATCCAAATGATCAAAATAATACCAGTTTAATAATACTCTGGTATTTTAAAACCTTTTTTTGCTAAAATTAAATGTCTTGTAATACATTTTTCACAAACTAGAACTAAACAATTTTTGTGTCAAATATTATTTTTATTAGTTGGAGGAGAATCTAGAGACATTTAGTAAATTCCATTCTCTCTGACGACTGACAATTGTACCCACCCAGCCAACTTTATTAATTATAGACCCACCACCCACATTTAATATTCTCCACCACCCTTATTAAATATTCCCCACCATCCACTTTTAATATTGTGAATTTCAAACCACAATCAACCCACCACCCCACCCCACTGACCCACCCACTGACCCAACCACTCACCCACCCACACACACACAGCTAAAATTTAAGGCCTCGAAACACACACCAACACACAGCTCACATTTATTATTACGAACAAACAACCGGTCACATCTTTATTACTTTCAACAACCCAACCACATAAACTTCAATCTCTTGAACGCCACTCACAACAATAATTTCAAACATAAATCACACCTTCATAAATATGCAACCACTTTTCTTCTGTATTTAATCCAAACCTCAAACCCCACTACGTTCACACCTTAAATATGCAGCAACTTTTCTTCTCATAAGTTGATGCCATATTGTTATGAAAATATTTAGATGTTTCTATTTAATATACCAACCCTGTATCAGTTCTAACATGTCTTCTTGTATCCTTTAAATGACATGGGAGCAAATAAGTTCACTACAAAGAGCTTAGCTACGATCAGATTTAACAAACAACCTGTACATCCAAACCACAGATCAACACTACACACTTAATATTATATGTCATTCGAAATAAGAAATATATTGAACTATGTCTGTTTTTTTTATGACTCCAGCATTCCTGAAGTGCCTTTCATGCAGAAGTCGCCTTGCATCAGAATAGATATGAAAGGTAACACCATATTTACATCACTCACTGTATTTTATCTAATACTATATATAAAGTCCAACTCTTTATTGACTCTTACAATATCTTCTTTTACGTTTTAAATGACATGGGAGGAAATAGTTTCAGCATCAATACCCAAAGCCTATCACATTAAGCACGGAAGAATGACACTCAAACCACAGGTCAGACCCACATTAAGACACTTTTCTTCTTAGAAGAACACTGCTTACCCCACTACGTTCACACCTTAAATATGCAACAACTTTTCTTCTCATAAGTTGATGCCATATTGTTATGGTACTATTTAGATGTTTCTATTTAATATATCAACCTTGTATCAGTTCTAACATATCTTCTTGTATCCTTTAAATGACATGGGTGCAAATAAGTTCCCTACAAAGAGCTTACCCACGATCAGATTTAACAAACAACCTGTAGATCCAAACCACTAACGAGCACTTTGTCGTAGTGCATCAAAATAAATTCACTACTAAGGGCTAATACCGTAGTATAGTGTAGTAGAGTTCGTATCCACAGGGAAAAGAATAATTCTCTTTTTATGAACTAGTAAATAAAAGGGGGGTTTTGGGATTGAGTGATTTAATTTAATTAAACACTAAGATGAACGACTTATATAAATTTTAATTCAAAGATAAAAGGAACTTGGCTTTGCTACTTTCCACTTGTTGATATATTTAGTCGATCCTTGTTATATCTATAACTTATCCCCTCTCTAATACTCAATCGAGGAGTATCTCCAATTCATCGAGGGTAGTTATTAACAACGACCGTTCATTAATAACCCTTACTATTAATCAAATATAGAACAACGCCTTATACCGATTTAATAGTAGCATTTAATCTTTCTAACTCCTAGATGAAATCAATTGAGATTGATAACCTCAACACAACGGTTTCGGTTTAACCAACAAAATTAATCCCTCTTAAGTCTATTAACCACAACCGTGCATTAATAAACCGAAGTTACTTACTTGTGAAACCATCAACGATTAACCATCGGTTCGTTGATCGTTTCTAGTAATAATTAATATTGAGATGTTAACTAATTGTCATCTTAGCAACACTCCCCAACATTAATATAGAGATAGATTAAGGGAAAAATTATTATTCAAGGAGAGAAGTTAAGAAAACAACTCACAACTTTAATAATAAACAAGCTTCAAGAGCAAAACCAAGAAATGGAACTTAAACTCCTCATTTGGAGACTAAACATGCTGGAAAAATACAAAGAAAATACTATTCTAAGTTGAGCTTAAGTATATGGAAGAAGGGATGAATATTAGTGAAGGAAAAGTGTGCTATTTATAGGTGTTTTTCAACACCTTTGGCCGGGTACCCGACCGGGTATGGTGCCCACCCGACCGGGTACCGGTCAAAATCAAATATTTCCCATGTTAGCGTGTTCTTCGGCACGTCCAATTGTCTCCGATTAAGTTTCACCCGACCGGGTGAGGTAGTGGGCCCGACCGGGCCATGCAATTTCCATGCATGTTTGGTTTTCACTTCTTACCCGACCGGGTGAAGGGTTATACCCGGTTGGGTATTTGCTCCAGGGCAGTCAAATCTTCTTTTTTTCTTCACTTCAAAGTCTTCCTTTCCAACACCACAAATTCTAACTATACTTTACAACTTACAAATGAAGACTAAAATACAATTACAACTAAACTCACAAAAATGTTTACAAACTAAATGAAATGGTAAACAATCCACACAAATCAAACTTTTTTTTTATTTTTATCCCGGAAGGCAAACCACCAAAATCAGTGGGGTAAATGACGGGAGTCAGATACCAGAGTTTTATTAAAAAAAAAAGCTGAAAATAAGAGAGGGGGACTAGACCAAAACCTCTCAAACAAGGAATAAGCCAAAAAGAATTAGAATCTAATAAAAGGAATTCCAAAAAGATCCATATAATAAGCTCGACGGGCTAAAAGTGGAAGAGATCTAATTGTTAATCCCAGAATACTAACAATCATACAATCATAAGCAGTAAAGAAGAAGCAGATAGGAAGAAATCGACAAGATTAAAACCCAAATCTGGTATACCGTATGAACTGGTCACTGCTCTCCCTGGAGAAGGAGAGCAGCGGCAACCCTAATTTCTCTCTATCTCGCCTCTATGTCTTTCAGCCTCTCTCGATTAGTTTTGGTTCCCGTAAGTTAGCCTCCTTTTATAGGAGAAGTTGGCTAACTTACGGGTTACAAGGAAGCTGATCGGTTTGAACTTGCAAGTGTACAAGTGCCGATATAGTAATAAATTCCGGTAAAATACCGGGTCGAATCCACAAGGAAACGTTGTTTAATTCAAGTCCGAGAGTAGATAACGTTAAATGAAGAATTGAATAAAGTGCAGGGATTTTGATTTGTGTTTTATATTTTTGGTTTTTTCACTTTTTGTTCAACAAGATAATCGTTAACTAACTTTGAGTTCAAGATAAATGATAACAACAACTAAGGCTTCGGGAATCACTTAAATGCTTAAATAGGGTTGAATATTAGTTCTTTGCCAATAATTATGAATACGACGTCGCTAATATATTCTCAACTCCGGTTAAGGCAGTGAGAGCGTGGTTTTCGTTACGTGTAAGTCCCGTTACGGCTTACATTCATCTACCGAAAACCCCGTTGAATATCAAGACATCACACCCGTATCATATAAGACCGGATATATTTCTATTCTCGGTACTATATATGTTTATCCTTTAGTGTTCATAGTTTAGACTTCAACGTTAATTGCAAGTATAAACTAAATTTAACATACTTCTATGTTGTACACCATAGTCATAAACAATCAATATATAAAGGATAAATCACAATTTATTGGTTTAGAACTTTTATCAAACACCTAGTGGGCATAGAAGTTCATCCCTAGCCTTAGCTAAGAAATTAGCCTCTAATGCTCATATTAATCACAATACAATAATAAATGTAATGGAACATGAAATTACAAAGGAAATAATACCTAAACACCAATGATTTCGGAGGATGAACTTCCCTCCTCAAGAACTTGAAGAAAAAAATCAAGAACAAAAATATAAAAGCTAAGAATTAATCTATGGAATGGAATGTGTTTGTATGATGAATTGAGGGCTTTATATAGGCTAAAGAATGACATCTTTTAGTCTATTCGAACCCAACAATCAGGTGTGGAGCAATATTTGATCAAGAAATGAGGAAGATGACCTTTTCCCATCAAAAATCCTCTTGCACGTTGGCCTGTTTTGTGCAGAAATCGCCCCAACCGGCCCCGGTTGTGTCCCGACCGGCCCCGGTTGAAAACAGGCTCATTTTTGCGAGAAAAAGCGTTCCGACCGGCGCCGGTTCAAGACCGACCGGCGCCGGTTGCTGCGCCCAAAAATGTACTTCATTTCTCTTCCTCCGAAATGGATAAAAAAGGATCGGTTTTTGTACCGGGAATTTGGAGATGTTCCGCTACGAATTTGGACATGATTCCTTCACCAAAGTTGTAGATAATGAAGTCTGCTATCCAACAAAACTTGAATGACGTGATGTTATGCATCTAATCAACAGATATGGATAAAACACTGAGAGGTATGCACCCTGAAATCCCACCAGCAACATCTGACTTTATCGGTTGATTGTGTATTGTTCCTTTCCTATTCTGGCCATGATGTCTTCATAACATTTGTACCTTATTGAGTTACCATTCACATGAAATTCGAATGGAGTGATTTCGAGTTCTCTACAATACGTTATACTCAAATGATGGGAAAAACGTCATCCTTTTGGTCCCAAAAGCCATTCATCACAATGTTTAATGCTCTAACTCTCATTCTCAAGATATTTTCCCAATTTCTCTTCTTTTCTTCAACAAATACTTATAAATACTTATGTTAAACACAAGTAAATATAACGGCTATCAAATCCCCCCACACTTGAGCATTGCTTGTCCTCAAGCAATTTCTTTGTATTGATGCACAATTAGAAAAGAAACTAAACCATGCAAATTAAAAGTTTAATAAGATGTTAAAATTTAGATATAAACTCTTTAATCTTTCTCGAGCCAAAAACCTTTTTCTATTACTCACAATAAATGTATTTAAGATTAAGAAAAATATTTAAACACTTAATGGGTTTATTTTGTGACAATTTAGGCAATGTGTGGGTATGTCGGTGTTTTTTTTCTTGTGGACTGACAACTTGATTTCGTAGAGAAGGTTATTCTAGGAGAACATGAGTTTTTTTTTGGTTTTGTAGATAAACTCTTTGTTTTTTGTTCTCCGTAATTATATATCTAGTTTGTCAGAAATGAGGAGAATCCGACAATAGAGTGATTTGGAGTTGGGATGAAACTTTTATTTTGAATTTGCACTCTATGCACATTTGTATGGATTTGGAAAATTGTCACAAATTTGAGTGAAAGTGATGGTTTCAAGATTAATAAATATTTTAATTAATCGAAAAATACATTTTTGTGAGTAAAAGAAAATCTTTCTCAACCAAAACCCTTAAAAGAGAGAATATCAAAAATTTTAACCTTCCTAGAAAAAAAAATTAATTTGCAAAGAAAAGTTTCTCAACTAATTATTCACCCCCACACTTGATTTACATTGTCCTCAATGTAGATTGGAGAATGTAATGCAAGATGAAATCTTCAATAGTGGAATGAGATGTCTTTGAGAGAAGAAAATGCATGATACTTGAGCTGAGATCAATGATTTTTTTTTTTGTTTATTATTTTTTTTTTTTTTGATTTTTTTTTTGTTTTTTTTTTTTGATTTTTTTTTGATTTTTTTTTTGGGTTGCCTCCCAATTAGCGCTTAGTTTAACGTCATAGGCCGGATGAATGTACCTCTTTTAAGGCGGTGGATGTGATGCTTTTCTCCGGTAGAATTTGATCATTGTGCCTCCTTTCATCGGGTAGAGTTTCGGGAGAACTTCGTTGTTCGTTGGTGTGATCTCGAGTACGCCTTCGGGGTGTGTTGGAGGATCCTCGGGCCCAAATATTTGTGCCTTCTTGATGTCCATGATGTTTATGGCCTTGGGAGGTGTGAAACGGTTTGTGTTGTCCTTCATGTTTTGAGTTGGAGTGGATTGTGTCTTCCACACATGGAATGTTTCATCATCTCCTTCCACTCTTAGCCTTACGGTGCCTGCTTGTACATCAATGACGGCTGCGGAAGTGGCCAAAAATGATCTCCCAAGGATGACGGGAACCTCCATCTCTTCCATGTCTAAAACAAGAAAATCTACCGGAAAGTAGAATTTTCCTACTTTGACAAGAACATCCTCCATGATGCCTATTGGATAGCGAATTGTTCTATCCGCTAATTGTAAGGCGATCGTTGTTGGTTGGAGTTCCCCCACACTTAGCTTTTTAAATAGGGAGTAGGGCATAAGATTTATGCTGGCACCAAGGTCACAAAGAGACCTTACCTCCCCGATTTTTCCAATAGAGCATGGAATATTGAAGCTTCCGGGGTCTTTTAGTTTTGGAGGAAGTTTGTTTTGAATAATGGCACTACATTCCTCCGTTAGTGCCACTGTTGTGAATTCCTCTAGCCTCTTTTTGTTGGAGATTATACCTTTAAGAAATTTTGCATATGATGGAATTTCCGCAATGGCTTCCGCAAAAGGTATGTTGATGCTCAATTTCTTGAAAATATCAAGAAATTTCTTGTATTTCTTATCATCTCCTTTCTTCTTCAAGTTTTGTGGATGGGGGATGGGGGGAACATATTGATCCATTATAGGTGGTAACGGTGTACTTCTCCTCTCCGGCATCTTGGGGTCCTCTGTTTGCCTCCCGCTTCTTAAGGTAATGGCCATGACGCTCTCCCTCGGATTGACCTCTGTAGTTGTAGGGAATTTACCTTGCTCTCTAGAACTCACTTTTTCGGCGAGTTGTCCCATTTGAACTTCAAGATTCCGGATGGACGCCTTGGCATATTGCTCGATGGTGTCGATGCGTTGGTTGAGCTTCATATTTTGATCTTCGAAGCGAAGATCCAACTTGGTGAATTGAGAATGGAGATTCCCAATGGATGCCTCCACTCTACTATGGTTCTCTTCATTTTGAGCCTTCATGTTTGCCATGCTTTTGGACATGAATTGCATCATATCTTCCATGATGATCTCCTTAGACTGCCCAAAATTAGGTGCTTCGGATTGGGGTTGTGGCTTCCAATTGCTCCCTTGGTTCCACCTTTGTTGATTAGAAGGATTATTGTTTCCCCGGTTCCCATAAGAGTTCATGAAATTTACCTCCTCAAGATGTTGAGATAAATCACCTTCCGGGCTTTGAATGCTCTCCACATTAGCTATCTGTTTGACACCTCCCAATACGGCTTGAAGGGCCGTTTGAAATTTCTGCTCAATTTTTGACTCCATTTGTTCAAGCCTTTTGTTGATCTCGTTTGTGATAGAGATTTCATTCATCCCGACCACCTTGTAATCGTCTCCTTGAAGTTGCGGATTTGAGGCAATGGATTCAATGATTCGGAGTGCTTGAGTTTCATTCTTGTTTCCAATGTAGCCCTCGGATCGGAGGTCTACAATGGCTTGACAAGGTGCATTCAAACTATTGTAGAACGTGTCAATTTGAAGATCAAGGGGAATGCGGTGGTGTGGGCATTCCCATAGCAATGATTTGAAACGCCGCCATGCGTTTTGAAAGAGCTCACCATTTTGTTGTTTGAAATTGAAAATGCGTTGCCTAAGCTCTTGAGTCATGGTGGGTGTGTAGTATTTAGACATGAAAGCATTGTAAATACCTTCCCACGTTGTGTAGCTCGCTGGAGTTTGCTCTAGAAACCATCCTCTTGCCGCCCCTTTGAGAGTGTAGGGGAAGCATTTGAGTTTGAGATCGTCTTCGGCGAGCTTATTCCTTGGAATCCCTTGAATAAATCCATAGAACTCTGTGATAAATTTCAGTGGATTTTCCCCCGAATGCCCATGAAACTGAGGCATAGCGTTGAAGTAGCTATGCTTTAGTTCATAGTCTCTTGCCTCCTCGCTTAGTACAATGCAAGACGGGGAAGTTGCAACAACGGGTCTCTTCCTCTCGTTTAGTGTGGGCATCATATTTGTGGCTTTTTGCTCCTTCCTAATGTGTTTGCAAGTTCTTTTTTTGAACCTTGACTTCTCAAGTGCATGCAAACACAAAGGAATATCTACACACACACAAATAAACATTTCCAAGATCAAGTGAAGAAGAGTAAAATAAATTCAGGATTTTTAAGTGATTGTTTTTTTTCCTATGGACTTTATTAAACAAGACCGTTTCCCCGGCAACGGCGCCAAAAACTTGATCGGTTTGAACTTGCAAGTGTACAAGTGCCGATATAGTAATAAATTCCGGTAAAATACCGGGTCGAATCCACAAGGAAACGTTGTTTAATTCAAGGCCGAGAGTAGATAACGTTAAATGAAGAATTGAATAAAGTGCAGGGATTTTGATTTGTGTTTTATATTTTTGGTTTTTTCACTTTTTGTTCAACAAGATAATCGTTAACTAACTTTGAGTTCAAGATAAATGATAACAACAACTAAGGCTTCGGGAATCACTTAAATGCTTAAATAGGGTTGAATATTAGTTCTTTGCCAATAATTATGAATACGACGTCGCTAATATATTCTCAACTCCGGTTAAGGCAGTGAGAGCGTGATTTTCGTTACGTGTAAGTCCCGTTACGGCTTACATTCATCTACCGAAAACCCCGTTGAATATCAAGACATCACACCCGTATCATATAAGACCGGATATATTTCTATTCTCGGTACTATATATGTTTATCCTTTAGTGTTCATAGTTTAGACTTCAACGTTAATTGCAAGTATAAACTAAATTTAACATACTTCTATGTTGTACACCATAGTCATAAACAATCAATATATAAAGGATAAATCACAATTTATTGGTTTAGAACTTTTATCAAACACCTAGTGGGCATAGAAGTTCATCCCTAGCCTTAGCTAAGAAATTAGCCTCTAATGCTCATATTAATCACAATACAATAATAAATGTAATGGAACATGAAATTACAAAGGAAATAATACCTAAACACCAATGATTTCGGAGGATGAACTTCCCTCCTCAAGAACTTGAAGAAAAAAATCAAGAACAAAAATATAAAAGCTAAGAATTAATCTATGGAATGGAATGTGTTTGTATGATGAATTGAGGGCTTTATATAGGCTAAAGAATGACATCTTTTAGTCTATTCGAACCCAACAATCAGGTGTGGAGCAATATTTGATCCAGAAATGAGGAAGATGACCTTTTTCCATCAAAAATCCTCTTGCACGTTGGCCTGTTTGTGCAGAAATCGCCCCGACCGGCCCCGATTGTGTCCCGACCGGCCCCGGTTGAAAACAGGCTCATTTTTGCGAGAAAAAGCGTTCTGACCGGCGCCGGTTCAATACCGACCGGCGCCGGTTCCTGCGCCCAAAAATGTACTTCATTTCTCTTCCTCCGAAATGGATAAAAAAGGATCGGTTTTTGTACCGGGATTTTGGAGATGTTCCGCTACGAGTTTGGACATGATTCCTTCACCAAAGTTGTAGATAATGAAGTCTGCTATCCAACAAAACTTGAATGACGTGATTGTATGCATCTAATCAACAGATATGGATAAAACACTGAGAGGTATGCACCCTGAAATCCCACCAGCAACATCTGACTTTATCGGTTGATTGAGTATTGTTACTTTTCTATTCTGGCCATGATGTCTTCATAACATTTGTACCTTATTGAGTTACCATTCACATGAAATTCGAATGGAGTGATTTCGAGTTCTCTACAATACGTTATACTCAAATGATGGGCAAAACGTCATCCTTTTGGTCCCAAAAGCCGTTCATCACAATGTTTAATGCTCTAACTCTCATTCTCAAGATATTTTCCCAATTTCTCTTCTTTTCTTCAACAAATACTTATAAATACTTATGTTAAACACAAGTAAATATAACGGCTATCAGAAGCCCACGGGCTGATACACATTTGTGGCCCGTATTACACGTTTAATTAATAACTACACAAATACAAAGATAACTAACTAGATTGAACACCATAAAATATTCCCAACACTAATACTGCTGAAATGTTTCTCCTGGCCCAAGAAAGAAGAAGCCAAAAAGTGGGCCGTACAATTTCCCTCACGCCAGATGTGTTCGAAGGTCATCTCTTTCCTTTTTGCCATAAGCGAAATTTCCTGAAAGATACCTGACCACCGCCTTGCCTCGTTGCTCCTCAGATATTCAATCACCATCATCGAGCCCGTCTCTACCTGGAAGCCATCAAAACCAGCGCCCATCGCCCACCGGATTGCCACACTCAGAGCAAGGATCTCAGCTTCCAAAGGAGAGGAGGCATCAATCGGAAAGCTAAGAGCTTCTACCATTTCGCCGTTTTGTCTTCTGAGAATAGCTCCACCCGACGCCATCCCAGATGCTCCACCCGACGCCATTCCAGGTATGAAACTAGCATCCACATTTAATTTGAGTCTCCCTTTGGGCTTCTTCCAATGAACGATCTGAACCTTTCTCCCAGTATTCTTAAATTGATAAGGAATTAGATGTTCCTCTCATAAAATATTACTGCTAGAGTACCTTTTAGATTTTGGAAGAGTCATAACCCAATTTCGAGTATAATGTTTAATGTGAGTGATTAAACCATCAACTGATTTAGGGTTACCTTCTCCCCAAATAATGCTAGAATAGCATTTCCAAATATGCCAACAAATGATACCTGCAAGATTATTTTTGAAAATGTCTTCCAAAACTTTCGATCCAGCCTTCCTCCACCATTCTCTGAAATTTTGTAAAATGGATCCTTGGCGAAGAGGCGAAATTCCAAAAATTCCTCCAAAATACTGCCAAATTGGTTTCGTTTTACTGCAGGTGAAAAATAAATGTTCCATTTCATCACTGTGCTGCCTGCAAAGAGCACAAATAGATGGCTCAACCACCATCTTAAATCTTCTCAGATTATCAGAAATGGGGAGAATCCCTTTAGCCATCCTCCACTGTAAAAGCTGAATCTTTAGTTCTTGATGAGGTTGCCAGAGATGTATGAATGCCTCACTGTTTGCCCCATGACTCCTTACTTCATTATATGCTGATTTAAGTGTAAAATTACCACTTGTTTCAGGGTTCCAGATGTCCATTCCAGAGGGATCCACATAGCACAGAGAGTTAGCATACTCGTGAATAGAACACAGTCTCCTCCAAATCGCAGAGTCGGTGACCTTAGGTATCATCACATCCCCATCATATCTATTTTTGATTATCTCTGCCCAAAGACTCTGCCCAGTTCTCCATTTCCACTATAGCTTAAGAGTGAAAGTTTTTTCGATATCATTAAGTGATCTGATCCCAAACCCCCCCTCTTCAGTAGGATAGCACAAATGATCCCACTTAACCCAATGAAATTTTCTTCTTTCACTAGAGGAACCCCAAAAGAAAGTTGCCATTTTACTGTGTAAAATTTTTATCACCTTCCTGGGTAAGCAATCCACTGCTAACATATGTAAAGGCAAAGTGTTCAGTACATGTTTAATAAGTATAAGTCGACCACCTTGTGAGAGGTTCTTTTGCTTCCATGCAGAAAGTTTCTTCTCAAATAGATTTATTAAAGGACCACAATATTGAATTCTATTTATTCCTTTGGGCAGGTTCACCCCCAAATATTTGATAGGTAGAGTGGCTAATTTCATTTGGAGAAGATTTTTGATATTGCTGATTCTTCCAGGACTGGTTCTTCCACAAAGGAAAGAACTCTTTTGAAAATTAACCAACTGTCCAGAAATAGACTGGTAAGCTTCCAAAAAGCTCTTAAAACTCTTGAGTGATCTTGATGGATAGTGTACCCGGGGGGTAGCTTATCCGAGGGGTTATTGCAGAGAATAACTAGAGAGAAGTCAGAGAAAATAAGTAAGAGAGAGAGTGTATATTCGATATGTATTAAGCGTGGTTTACAATGGGGAAAAGGGGTGCTATTTATAGTAGTAATAAATGCTAGATAAGGACACGTGTCAGTTTTCTGGTGGTCGAGGGGTCACCTCGACCGGGGTGGCACTGGCACTCGCATGTGGCCGCATAAAATGCGGTGGTTGGATGTGACGTTTGTACTTGGTACGGTGATCCAGGCGCATGTGAAGAGGATATTCTGTCGAGGTGGATGCCTTCGGCTGAAGGGTGCTGGGCCGAAGCCTCTTCTAACCGAGGGCTCCTACCTGCCGAGGGTTGCAAGTGCCGAAGGCTTGGTTTTCAAGCCTTGTTCTCCTGTGATGCCTCTTCTAACCGAGGGCTCCTACCTGCCGAGGGCTGCAGTTGCCGAAGGCTTGGTTGTCAAGCCTTGTTCTCCTGTGATGTTTCTGAGCTCGATTCCGTCACTGGTAGCCTTCGGCCATGGGGCCGAAGGTACCCCTTTGCGTATTGTGGGCTGCTTAGAGCTCCATTTTGCTGGGCTTGGCCCGTTTGGGCCTTTTGGAACCACAATGGCCCTTGGCCTCAACATCAGACGGCCCTCGGCCTCAACATGACTCTATGTCATAACGGTTTTTGCCTTACATGATTTCACATCACCAAAGGCCCTCGGCCTCAACGTGATTCAACATCAACAATGGCCCTCGGCCTCAGCGTGATTCCACATCACATCGGCCCTCGGCCTCAACATCAGAACGGCCCTCGGCCTCAACATCAACAACGGCCCTCGACCTCAGCATCACAACGGCCCTCTGCCTCAACATCAACAATGGCCCTCGGCCTCAGCGTGAGGACATCACAATGGCCCTCGGCCTCAACATGACTCTATGTCATAATGGTTTTTGCCTTACATGATTTCACATCACCAAAGGCCCTCGGCCTCAACGTGATTCCACATCAACAACGGCCCTCGGCCTCAGCGTGATTCCACATCAGAACGGCCCTCGCCCTCAACATCAGAACGGCCCTCGGCCTCAACATCAACAACGGCCCTCGACCTCAGCGTGGTTCCACATCACAGCAACCCTCGACCTTCATCCCTCCGGCATTTTATTTGATGTCGGGGGCTATCATAGGGCTGGTTCGGTACGGTATACCGAAATTTCAACGCCATACCGCATACCGTACCGAAAATCCGGTATTGGTAAATGTCATACCGTTACCATACCGAAACTTTCGGTATACCGAATTTCGGTATACCGAAAATTCGGTACGGTATGTAACCCATACCGTTTTATACCGAAAATTCAAAAAAAAAAAATCTTGGCAATTCCGTATAAAGTATTAGCTTAAGGGGCCTACCGAACATCCAAAAAAACTGATTTTAACAAGTCAAAAGTAGCATACGACATCAATACATAAACCGATACCAAAACTAAAACACAATATTTAATCCAAAGTAGAAAATACTAAAATTATGTGCTAATATCTCAAGTCTCAACACAATCCATAATGAAAATTAGAATATTTATCCAACATAAATCAATGAAAACTAATGTTTGTAATAACAAATCTTTGATTTAGCAAAAAAAAATAATAACAAATCTTTGAATCATTGTTGCAGCTCCGTATAAATAAGAGATTTTTCTACTTTGGTAATATGATGGTCGTCCGCCGTATAAATATTTTATCAATATACTTTATCATTTGTTTATAAATATAGAATGAGCATAGACCAGATTGTTTATATTACCAGGATGGTTAAACTTTAGCAAATAATGACGGTCGTTCGCTACTCCGTGCTTCGTCAATGGCGTCTTCGTCACTCGTCCGCATCTCCATCGTCAATGCTCAATAGTCCACAGCTCTGTCACTCGTTGAAGAGAAGAGAAACTGCTTGACTCTAAGTTGATTTATTTGGGGAGAATTTGACTTTGCACCCCATGTTTTGGGTGATATTTGAGTTTGCACCCTATTTTCAAAATCATTAATGTATGCACCCCAATTCACTATAAAATTATTGGGCTAATGGGGTGCATACATTAATGATTTTAAAAATGGGGTGCAAAGTCAAATATCACCCAAAACATGAGGTGCAAACTCAAATTCTCCCATTTATTTGATTAGGGATTTAGGCCTCTACTTGGGAGAACTAGAGAAGGGCCGTAGTATTATAAGATGGGTTATTTTAATTTTGGGCATTGGTATTTTAATAATTTCATTTAATGGGTTTGGCCCTAAAAATTTACAAATTCTATTTCGGTATATCGGTATTTCGGTATATACCGTACCATACCGAAAATTAACGGTATTTCGGTATATACCGAAATACCGAAAATTTAAAAAATCCATACCTTTACCGTACCGAAGTGACCCGGTATGGTATCATACCGTACCGAACTTTTCGGTATACCGAAAATTTCGGTAAATTCGGTATTTTTCGGTATGGTATGGCCGGTATACCGAAATTTCGGTATATTTTCCCACCCCTAGGCTATCATACAGGCCCATCGGCCTTCATCCCTCCGACATCTTTATTTGATGTCGAGGGCCATCACACAGGCCCCTCGGCCTTCATTCCTCCGACATCTTTATTTGATGTCGGGGGCTATCATACACGCCCATCGGCCTTCATCCCTCCGACATCTTTATTTGATGCCGGGGGCTATCATACAGGCCCATCGGCCTTCATCCCTCTGGCATTTTATTTGATGTCGGGGGCTATCATACAGGGCCATCGGCCTTCATCCCTCCGGCATCTTTATTTGATGTCGAGGGCCATCACACAGGCCCCTCGGCCTTCATCCCTCTGACATCTTTATTTGATGTCGGGGGCTATCATACAGGCCCATCGGCCTTCATCCCTCCGGCATCTTTATTTGATGTCGGGGGCAATCACACAGGTCCCTCGGCCTTCATCTTTCCGGCATCTTTATTTGATGCCAGGGGCTATCATACAGGCCCATCGGCCTTCATCCCTCTGGCATTTTATTTGATGTCGAGGGCTATCATACAGGGCCATCAGCCTTCATCCCTCCGACATCTTTATTTGATGTCGAGGGCCATCACACAGGCCCCTCGGCCTTCATCCCTCCGACATCTTTATTTGATGTCGGGGGCTATCATACATGCCCATCGGCCTTCATCCCTCCAGCATCTTTATTTGATGTCGGGGGCAATCACACAGGTCCCTCGGCCTTCATCCCTCCGGCATCTTTATTTGATGCCAGGGGCTATCATACAGGCCCATCGGCCTTCATCCCCCCGACATCTTTATTTGATGTCGAGGGCCATCACACAGGCCATCAGCCTTCAGCCCTCTGGCATCTTTATTTGATGTCGGGAGCTATCAAACAGGCCCCTCGGCCTTCATCCCTCCGACATCTTTATTTGATGTCGGGGGCCATCACGAAGACCCCTCGGTCTCCATCCCTCCGACATCTGTATTTGATGTCAGGGGCTCTCACACAAGGCCACCTGGCCTTGCACCCCTCCGTCACCTTTATTTGATAACGGGGGGGGGGGGGGGGGGGGGGGGGGGTCCTTACAAGCTCCTTAGCTTTTTCATGCAGGATCTAAGGCTGATCTTGGATATCCCCTCAGCAGACGGACACAACCGCCGCTCAACAATCAAGGCCGAAGGGTGCACTCCTTTTGCTTCATTCTGAGGGCATCCGGTGTACACTTTTTCCCTCATTAGGATTTTTTCCCACAGGGTTTTTTCCTAATGAGGTTTTTAATGAGGCATCTCCCCATTGTGGAACAAAAGGCGTCACCCCTCGGCGGCTCCTGTTGAAGGCATGCATCACTCTACTCCTGTTTCCCTCGAGAAACTCTCGGCAAAAGGAGTGGGGGACTGGGGAACCCCCCTCGGCAAAACACGCAAATGTTAAAAATTTTCTATTTCCCAGCTACAGCAAGTTGACGCAAGATCACAATGGCAATCTACTCCCCTCGACATGATGCCTTCGGCTTACAGAATGCCTCCGGCAACACAATGCCTTCGGCCACATGATGCCTTCGGCCACATGATGCCTTCGACCACATGATGCCTTCGGCCACATGATGCCTTCGGCCACATGATGCCTTCGGCCACATGATGCCTCTGGCCACATGATGCCTTCGGCCACATGATGTCTTCAGCCACACAAAGCCTTCAGTCAACAAATGCCCTCGGCAAAGCACACAAATGCAGATCCCTCATTACTTTACAAACTACAACATAGAAACACATACGAGCAACACACTTACACTCCCTTCAGGAAGCTCTCAGCCCTCGACATATGGGGGAATTGAGAAAATGAGGCACCCAACAGAACAGGGAAGCCTTCGGGGCAATCACCACAGCTACTCCTTTTCCTTCAAGTACCTTTCGGCAAAAGGAGTGGGGGACTCCTGATGGAGTATATGGCCCAGGGACCCCCGACCCACATACTTCCTCTTCTACAATCAGGCCCAAACGGGCCAAGCCCAGCAAAATGGAGCTCTAAGTAGCCCACAATACGCAAAGGGGTGTGTATGGCCCACGGCTGAGAAGGACCGAAGTGTTTCGTCAGGCTGTTGCTTGACGGAGAGGAGGTGGGAGAAGTGCTTTCCCGCGCGCTTCCTTCCGGCAAAATGGATGAGGAAGCGTTGGGCAAGATCTTGCCAAGAGTCAATGCTGCCCTCGGGCAATCGATTGAACCATTCGTATGCTGGTCCCTCCAAGGTGGAAAGGAACCAACGACATAAGTATTCATCTGATGCCCCCATCATCATCATGCTGTTTTGATACCTGTCGTAGTGCTCCTGGGGGTCAGTTTTTCCTTCATAGGGCTTGATGAGTTGCCCTCGGTACTATCCCAACAGAACAGGGAAGCCTTCGGGGCAATCACCACAGCTACTCCTTTTCCTTCAAGTACCTTTCGGCAAAAGGAGTGGGGGACTCCTGATGGAGTATATGGCCCAGGGACCCCCGACCCACATACTTCCTCTACTACAATCAGGCCCAAAAGGCCCAAACGGGCCAAGCCCAGCAAAATGGAGCGCTGAAGGGGAGGGTTTCTTACTTGTCAACGAGAGCGCCCATCGCCGTCCATCATCTTAGACGAGCGCCCAGCGCCGCCCCTCATTTTCAGACGAGCGCCCAGCGCCGTCCATCATTTCAGACGAGCGCCCAACGCCGTCCTTCATCTTCAGACGAGCGCCCAGCGCCGTCCTTCATCTTCAGACAAGCGCCCAGCTCCATCCTTAGACGAGCGCCCAGCTCCGTCCTTAGACGAGCGCACAGCGCCGTCCCTCATTTTCAGACGAGCGCCTAGCGCCGTCCCTCATTTTCAGACGAGCGTCCAGCGCCGTCCATCATTTCAGACGAGCGCCCAGCGCCGTCCTTCATCTTCAGACGAGCGCCCAGCGCCGTCCTTCATCTTCAGACGAGCGCCCAGCTCCGTCCTTAGACGAGCGCCCAACGTCGTCCCTCATTTTCAGACGAGCGCCCAGCGTCGTACCTCATCTTAGACGAACGCCCAGCGCCGTCCTTCATTTTTAGACGAGCGCCCTGCGTCGTCCCTCATTTTCAGACGAGCGCCCAGCGCCGTCCATCATTTCAGACGAGCGCCCAGCGCCGTCCTTCATCTTCAGACGAGCGCCCAACGCCGTCCTTCATCTTCAGACGAGCGCCTAGCTCCGTCCTTAGACGAGCGCCTAGCGCCGTCCCTCATTTTCAGACGAGCGCCCAGCGTCGTCCCTCATCTTAGACGAGCGCCCAGCGCCGTCCTTCACTGTTAGACGAGTGCCCAGCGCCGTCCCTCATTTTCAGATGAGCGCCCAATGTCGTCCATCATCTCAGACGAGTGCCCAGCACCGTCCATCATCTCAGACGAGCGCCCAGCGCTGTCCATCATCTTAGACGAGTGCCCAGTGCCGTCCCTCATTTTCAGACGAGCGCCCAGAGCCGTCCATCATTTCAGACGAGCGCCCAGCGCCGTCCCTCATCTCAGACGAGCGCCCAACCGTCCCTCATCTTCGGACCAGCTCCACCGTCCTACATGTTCAGTCCGGCGCCAACACCTTGCCCCGTCATCATATTATCGGATCGGATTCTCAGCATCGCTGCCCATGCATCACGATCGGCTCTTCGGTCCCGACGTGATTATTTATCTCAAGATCAGCTTCCTCAGCGCCGCGAGTCTTGAGCTAGCGATCGGGCTCACCATCCCTTCCTGGATGGTGACCATCGCCTTTATATGACGATCGGCTTCATCATCGCCTCGTCATTATATTATAGGGCCGGCCCCTCAGTGCCTTTGTCCTCGCATCACGACCGGCCCCTCGGCCTCGGCGTGATCATCTATCTCAAGACCGGCTTCCTCAGTGCCGCGAGTCTTGAGCTAGCGATCGGGCTCACCATCCCTTCCTGGATGGTGACCATCACCTTTATATGACGATCGGCTTCATCAACGCCTCATCATCATATTATAGGACCGGCTCCTCATCGCTGTTGTCCTCACATCACGACCGGCCCCTCGGCCTCGGCGTGATTATCTATCTCAAGACCGGCTTTCTCAGCGCCGAGAGTCTTGAGCCAGCGATCGGGCTCGCCATCCCTTCCCGGATGGTGACCATCGCCTCTATATGACGACCGGCTTCACCAACACCTCGTCATCATTATTTGGACCGACTCCTCATCGTCGTCATCCTCATATCACGACCGCCCCCTCGGCCTCGACGTGATTATTTATCTCGAGACCGGTCTTAGTCATTCCTTTACCGGATGATGACCGTTGCATGGATTTTTGGACCGGCCCCTCATCGCCGTCGTCCTCACATCATGCCCGGCCCCTCGGCCTCGGTGTGATTATCTATCTCAAGACCGGCTTCCTCAGCGCCGAGAGTCTTGAGCTGGCGATCGGGCTCACCATCCCTTCCTGGATGGTGACCGTCGCCTTTATATGACGATTGGCCCATCATGGCCTCGTCATCATTTATTGGAAAGGCTCATCATCGCCGTCATCCTCACATCGCGGCAGACCCCTCGGTCTCAACGCGATCTTGAGCTAGCGATTGGGCTCACCATCCCTTCTTGGATGGTGACCATCGCCTCTATATGACGGCCGGCTCATCATTGCCCCGTCATCATATTTCGGATTGGCTCTTTTCTTCGCCATCCGCGCATCACGACCGGCCCCTCGGCCTCGGCGTGACTATCTATCTCAAGACCGGCTTCCTCAGCGCCGAGAGTCTTGAGCTAGCGATCGGGCTCGCCATCCCTTCCTGGATGGTGACCATCGCCCTTATATGACAATCAACTTCATTCTTGCCTCGCCATCATATTATCAGATCGGCTCATCATATCCGTCCGCACATCACGATCGGCCCCTCGGCCTCGGCATGATTATCTATCCGCAAGACCGGTCTCAGTCATTCCTCCATCGGATGGCGACCGCTGCTTGGACTTTTGGATCAGCCTCATAGTGCTGACGACCTCGCATCACGATCGGCCCCTCGGCCACGACGTCACACCCTATCCCACCTAGGGCTGGGTTCGGTTCGGGTCCCGAACCGATTCACCATATACCCGAACCGAACCGATATTTCGGTTTACAAAATTATCAAAACCGAAACCAAACCGATATAATATCAGAAACCGATTTTTGGTGCCCGATTTTTTCGGTTCGGTTTACCGGAACCCGAAAAAACCGACTCAATTGTAATAATTAAATTTAAACTAATATCCAATAGACTAAAATCCATTGAAACATGCTAAATTTTGAGCCCAATTAGCCCAATGGCAACCTAGAACGTGTCTTAGCTGCCTAGAATGTATCTTGCCATTCTAAACTGAGGGACCTAGTTTATATTGATGATTTTGGAGTAGGATGTTACTCATTTTCCGGTGTGGGACAAAATGAAAGAGGAAAGAAGCCAATTTTAAAAAATCAAACATTATGGATGCAGGCAAGAATCGATCCCCCGACGTTTCAATGAGAATAGGGTACGGCTGCCCAACTCCGCTACTAGTCCAATTCGTCCAATTCGTACTCGGAATAATATTATACCTGTATTAAACTGACATTAATTATTAGTATTACTAATATAAAAATTGTCGGTTCGGTTCGGTTTGAACCGATTTTTTAGGAATATAAACCGAGTCCGAACCGTTTTTTATCGGGTCCCAATTTTCGGGTCCCATTTTCAATCGGTTCGGTTCGGTTCGGTTTTTTTCGGTTCGGTTTTCGGTTTTTCGGTCTAAAATGCCAGCCCTAATCCCAACACCGGCTTCATCAGCGCCGAGTGTGTTGGGCTAGCGATCAGGCTCGCCATCCCCTCCTGGATGGTGACTATCACCTCTATATGACGATCGGCTTCATCATCGCCTTGTCATCATATTTCGGACTGGCTCATCATTGTTGTACGCACACCACGATCAGCCTCTCGGCCTCGACGTGATTATTTATCTCAAGACCGGCTCCCAGCACCGAAGTCTTGTTATAGCGATTGGGCTCGCCATCCCTTCCCGGACGGCGACCGTCGCCCCTATATGACGCACGGCTTATCATCGCCTCGTCCTCACATTTAGACCGGCCCCAGCGCCGAAGTCCTTATCTAGCGACCAGGCTCGCCATTCCCTTCCTGGATGGTGACCGTCACCTTCATATGACGCATGGCTTATCATCGCCTCGTCCTCATATTCGGACCGGCTCACCAGCGCCATCGTCCCCATATTCGGACCGGTTCGTCAACGCTGTCATCCTCATATTCGGACCGACTCATCAGCGTCGTCGTCCTCATATTCAGACAGGCGTCCACCGCCTCATCCTCCTATTCAGATATAGCGAACATCTTGCGGTCTCCGGCTGAAAGGCTAAAGGAGCCCAGAGTTCGGCCATATATCGCTCTGTCATCTTTATTTGATGACGAAGAGCTCATCTACAGGCCCATCGGCCATATATCGCTCTGTCATCGTTATTTGATGACGAAGAGCTAATCTACAGGCCCATCGGCCATATATCGCTCGGTCATCTTTATTTGATGACGAAGGGCTAATCTACAGGCCCATCGGCCATATATCGCTCTGTCATCTTTATTTGATGACGAAGGGCTCATCTACAGGTCCATCGGCCACATATCGTTCTGTCATCTTTATTTGATGATGAGGAACTCATTTGTAGGCCTCTGAGCCATATCTTGCCCCCGTCATCTTTATTTGATGACGTGGAGCTCTCATATAGGCCTCTCTCGGCCATACATCACCCCGTCATCTTTATTTGATGACGTGGAGTTCTCCTACAGGCCTCTCGGCCGTATATCGCCCCGTCGTCTTTATTTGACGACGTGGAGCTCTTATGCAGGCCCCTCGGCCGCACCATCGCCCCGTCGTCTTTATTTGACAACATGGAGCTCTTATGCAAGCCCCTCGGCCGCACCATCGCCCCGTCGTCTTTATTTGATGACGTGGAGCTCTTATGTAGGCCCCTCAGCCGCACCATCGCCCCGTCGTCTTTATTTGACGACGTGGAGCTCTTATGCAGGCCCTCGGCCGCACCATCGCCCCATCGTCTTTATTTGACGACGTGGAGCTCTTATGCAGGCCCCTCGGCCGCACCATCGCCCCTTCGTCTTTATTTGACGACGTAGAGCTCTTATGCAGGCCCCTCGGCCGCACCATCGCCCCGTCGTCTTTATTTGACGACGTGGAGCTCTTATGCAGGCCCCTCGGCTGCACACATCGCCCAATCGTCTTTATTTGACGACATGGAGCTCTATGCAGGTCCCTCGGCCATACATCGCCTCGTCGTCCTTATTCGACAACGTGGAGCTCTCGTACAGGCCTCTCGGCCCATCGGCCTTACGTTCTGGTCATCTTTATTTTATGAACCAGACATCATATTGTGGACGGTTGCTCGACCCATCCCTTAGTCATCTTTATTTGATGACTAGGACTACTGATCATGATGAGCTACCCACATCTAAAGATCGGCCTCGACCATCCCCCCAGCAGACGGGCACCGCTGCAGCTCCATCTCCAGGCTGAAGGGCTCGCACCTTTTGTTTCATTTTGGGGGCATCCGGTGTACTTTTTTCCCCTCATTAGGATTTTTTCCCACAGGGTTTTTCCTAATGAGATTTTTAACGAGGCATCTCCCCATCGTGGATCAAAAGGTGTCAACCCTCGGCCCCCTGTTGAAGACATCATCCGACACGCATTACTCTACTCCTCTTCACCTCATTACACTCACCTCAAGGAGTGGGGGACTGGAAGAGCGGGGGACTTAGCGCCTCCATTAACCAAAGAAGCAGAAATTCAAATTTTTGTTCACGAAGTTTACTCACCAGACGACGACAGATCAGCACACAGTTCTACTCTCTTTCGCCTCGAATACTCTCGACTAAGAGAGTGGGGGACTCCTGATAGAGTATATAGACTCGGACCCCCGGGTCTCACGACTATTGGACCCGGACAGCGGCCCACGTACACTCAGCTGATAGCATTTTCATTATTGTACATTATTATTATTATTATTCAGGTGTTCTAGATTAGCCTTTTATATTATCAGTCCATTTATGTAACCGGGTCTGTCAGGCCCATATTAAGGTCCAGACCCGGATATTCTTCTATATATACTCCCTTAGGGAGTTCTTGTAAACCTAATTTCACAATTCATTCATATACCACTATTCATTCATCTTCTCCACATTCTTGAGCTCAAATCTCTCCATTTATTATATAGTTTGGATTCCTATAATCCATCAGATCTAGCATCTCCATTTAGAAATATCAGTAGGTCATCTGCATACCCTAAATGAGAAACAAGATAACCTTTGGAGCCCATCAGAAAATGCTTAATCTTCCCTTGATTCATTATATGTTTTAACCCCATAGAAAATGCTTCAAAAGCCATAATAAAGAGAAAAGGAGACAAAGGGTCACCCTGTTTAACCCCTCTCTTTGGCTTAAAAAAAACCATAAGGAGAACCATTAATCATAATAGAGAGATGAGTAGCTTGAAGATTATTCAGGACAAATCCAACAAAAAGATTACTGAAACCAAAACTGATAAGAATCTTAGCCAGAAAGTCCCAAGAAACCCTATCAAAAGCCTTGGCCATATCCAGTTTAATAATAATGTTAGAACCCCTCACCTTTTTATCAATGCTATGGACCATCTCTTGAGCAATCAGAACCTGATCAGATATATCCCTTCCTTGCATGAAGCCAGCTTGCTCTGGAGAAATAATCTTAGGCAAGAGAACATTGAGCCTAGATACCAACACCTTAGTGCAGATTTTACTCATAAAATTTGATAAACAAATAGGTCTAAATTCTGCAAAAGACTTAGGGTTGTCAACTTTAGGGATAAGTACAATAAAAGCACTGGCCATACCCTTAGGAATAGGTAAACCCATAAAGTATTCTTGAACAGCCTTAAGAACATCCAAAGAAACAACATTCCAGCATTTTCTAAAAAATTTACCATTATACCCATCTGGCCCTGCTGCACTGTTCTGATTCAGGTCCCAAACAGCAGCTTTAACTTCCTCCATATCAGGCAGTTTAGTCAAATCATAATTTTCCTCATCAGAAACAATTTTAGGAATGTATTTTAGAATTTGTGTATTATTGTTCTGACTATCTTCTGAATATAGTGTAGTGAAAAAATCAACAGCTGCTTCTCCAATTTGTTGAGGGTTGTCTCTTGTATTGCCTGCAGAGTCCACAATGGAGGTAATTTCTTGTGTTCTATTTCTAATCTTCACATAGGAATGAACAAATTTAGTATTAGAGTCACCCTCCTTAATCCACTTAATATGAGACTTTTGCTTCCAAAACTTTTTCTCCAACTTATACTTGTAAAGTAGAAGACCTCTCTTGTGTGCCCAATTCTCCCTATTATGCTCAGTAGGATTCTCCTCAAAAGCTTTTTCTGCCAATAAAACCTCCTTTTCACAAGCCTTATTCACGTCAAAAATGTTGACAAACACTTCTTTGTTCCACTCTTTGAGATCTCTTTTAAGGGATTGCAGTTTGTAAACTAATCCCCTCATACCTCCCCCAGACTTATAAGAAGCCCATTTAGATGAAACATAGTTGAGGAAATCTGGGTGTGAAACCCACATGTTTTGAAATCGAAAAGCTTTAGGCATAGAATTCTCCACATTAACAAACTGAATCAAGAGGGGATTATGATCTGAAGGAGATTTATTGAGAATGTTAATTCTGATTGACTTGAACCTATCAACTGCAATATTGTTGAAAAGACATCTGTCTAACCTCCTCCACACTCTCCCATTTGCGCGAATCCCTGACCAGGTATACTGTGGCCCATTATGTGGAAGATCAATGAGACTACAAGCTGCAATGCAGTCCACAAAATCAAACATAAAAACATACATTTATACACTACTAATTAGTGCATATCAAACACCCCACACTTGAACCTTTACTCGTCTCGAGTAAACCAAATCTAGTCCAAGAAACCCCCAGAGTGACAAGAGTACAAACATCAAGTGTGTTTTTAGAACAACACAACATATCCCCAAAAGTGAAGAGGGGTCTTTAACTCCATATTTCATATCAACCTCAAGTTTTCATTGTTACCCGTAGGATCCTGCAGAAATAACAGAGATAATTTATCTCGTTCTCTCATTTTGCCTAGGTGCCCTTTCGAGTTTTCATCCCAGCTTCCCACATTTTTTTAATTTTTTCCTCACAACTCACTCTTATTTTTGTTTTATTTTTGCTTAAGTTTCCCTTTCAGGTTTTCAACTTAACAAATTTTTTTCTTAACAATTGTTTTTGAACAAGAATAAAGAGTATGAATGTGAGTATTCCATGAAACTCTCCCCCAAGCTAGCCAAAGCACTGTCCCTAGTGCTCATCTCCGAGGTGTCATAGAAAATGAACATCTTTGTGGTGTAATTTCTTCCTTTTTGGTAGGGGATTTCGGACTTGGTGTATGTGGGGTTAGGGAATTTGGATTTTTGGTTATTTGGGAGTTATTTGGTGGATGTATATATATGGGAGATATGAGAGCTTCAAGTAAGAAAATGGTGGATTTTGGATGGAGGGCTCAAAGAAGAGTGGATGGGGAGGTTATTTGCTCGACATGGTAAACCGTGTAGATGCTCGTACCCTGATATTCATGTAATTTCCGATTGTATGTTTGTATTTTTAACTAGTTTTTATTAGTTCTAGTTGAGGAAATTACACACTTTTGGTGTAATACTTTATTTTCATATTTATTTGTAATTTGTTTAGATTAGGACTTTTCTGAGCTAAACAGGTCAAAGATCATCCAAGGGATCAAGACTGGACCTTAAAAGATCAAGGAAAGTGCAAGGAGGCAAGAAAGATTTCGATTTGGAAAAAATACTCATGTACCCGGTCGGGTATTGCCTATACCCGATCGGGTATTTGCTTGATTCGATTGTCCAAATCAAATCCGGGAACAAATGATCGTGGGAGCAAGATTTCGTTAAGATTTGTCACATACCCGATCGGGTATGCCGCAATACCCGGTCGGGTATGCCCAGAAAAGTGACTTTCTGGGAAATTTCCTAAGATACCCGGTCGGGTATCAGCCCCTGCAGCTCCCAAAAGCCTATAAATACACCCCTTTCCTCCACAATAAAGGAACCAATTCCTATATACTTCTAAGCTCAGTCTAGAATAGTTCTTTCTTTATATTTTCTTCATGTTTAGTCTCCAAATGAGGAGCTAAACTCTTCCATCTTGGTTTTGCTACTTTGAAGCTTAATGAATTTGTAAGTTGTGAGTTATTCTCTTTAATTTTCTTCCTTGAATATTAATTTTTCCTTTAAATACTATTTCTATATCAATGTTGGGGAGTGTTACTAAGATGACAATTAGTTAACATCTTGACATTAGTTATAGTAATAGTTATTTCTTCCTCTATGTTAATATTGGGGAGTGTTACTAAGATGACAATTAGTTAACATCTTGATATTAACTATAGTAGGATTCATACTCTTTAATATTCTTCCTTGAGTATTAATTAATTCCTATTCATATTTCATATTAATATTTTGAGCATTACTTAAAGGATCAACTAGTTTTGTTTCATATATTAATTATTACTAGAATCAATCAGTTAATACGCTTGTTATTAATTCGGTTCCTTCAACGGTAGTAAACTTGGATTATTAATGCATGCGTCTCATGGTTAATAATCTAAGGGAAATTAATTATATTGATTAAACCGATAAACCGCTTGTGTTGAGGTTATCAATCTCAATCGTTTTCATTTCAAGTTTATTTCTACTATCGTGTTAATATACGGCGTGTGTTATATATTGACTCGGTAGTAAGTTTTATTAATGAACACGTCTCGTTATTAATAACTACCCTCGATGAACTGGATATACTCCTCAATTGCGTATTCGAGAGGAAGATAGTTAAAGATATAACCGGGATCGACGAACATTTCATTAAGTGGATAAAAGCAAAATCAAGTCCCCATCTCTATAAATTAAACTCATAGAAGTCGTTCATCTTAGTGTTAATTAAATTAAATCAAATCAAACTTAAAACCCCCCTTGTTACTATTTTATAAAAGAAAAGTATTCATTTCCCTGTGGATACGAACCTTACTTCACTATACTACGTATTAGTGTTGTATTGATAAATTATTTTGAGTGCACCTCACGACAAGTGCACGTCAAATTTGGCGCCGTTGCCGGGGAAAGACAATTATTTTTCTTTTTACTTTATCTCATAAAAATAAAAAATATATATATAAAAAAAAAAATTCTTTTCTATTTTCTGAGCTTACATGAGTATATGGATACCAACACATCATCCTTAGAGAGTTAAATTTCCGTTTTGGCTTCTCTCATAAAGGAGTTTATCTTAAGCTCAGAAACTCAAGATGCCAAGACCTGCGATATTTGCATGTCTCAAAGGCATATTGCGAATTTTTGCCCAAAGCTCCAAGAAGAATACCTCACACAAATTAAATATGTACCTCACATGAGGTATGATCCATTCTCCAACTCTAACATGTCTACGGAGAACATGGTTCGGGCTCTTACTAACAGCGTGACCACCATGCAACAAAACATGGTGCAATTCCAAAATGAGACCAAGTCTAGCATTTTTAACTTGGAATCTCAAGTGAGTCAAATAGCCGGAGCCGTGAGTAGGATTGAAGCAAGGGATTCGGGAAAACTTTCCTCTCAAATAGAATGTGATCCTAAACAGCAAACTTTTGCAATCACATTGACAAATGAGAAGGAAATGCAAGAGGACATCCAAAATCCAGAAGAAATAGAAGAAGAAAGAGACACGGAGCTCGAGCTGGTCAAAGAAGAGGATGAACCGTGTTTCAAGGTCAAATATCTATCCTTATCATTCTTTGAGGTACCCTCAACAGTTCTAAAAACTTCGAGGGAAACTCATAAAATTGAAAAGGATAAAGATATTTTTGAAATCTTCACAAAAATTGAGAGATCAAAACATTTTCCATTGATCATGTTAATCGATAATTTCTTTCCCTCACTCTCACCACATGAATCAATGGAAATCTGGATATTTGATCCTGGAAAGATTTTCGAAGTGACGAGTCAAAATAATTATCATGATCTAAGCTTGAACGATTGAACACAATGATGGCGTCGTGCCGCGACGTTAAACGAGGCGCTTCTTGGGAGGCAACCCAAGCAAAGGTACATATTCTTTTCTTCCTCGTAGTTTTCATTTCAAAAAAAAAAAAATACCAGGGGCACCATACCCGATCGGGTGTCATGTACTACCCGGTCGGGTATAAACAAAAATTTAAAGGGTGAAGCTCGGGTAACCAAATACTCGATTGACTCAGGGTTGGAAAATTATGAAGTACCCGATCGGGCAGCTCCATATACCCGATCGGGTATGTTAATTTTTTTTTTCTGGGAATATGTTCGCACCAAAACGCCCGATCGAGTATACCCCAAATCGATCGGGTAGGACCCCGGATTTTGAAGAAACACAGGCATACCCGATCGGGTATGTCAGGGTACTCGGCCGGGTACACGGTCTTTAAACCCAAATTAGCCACCCAAAACACCCATTTCATCTTCCCCAAACCTCCAATTTCGAAGTTTCTTTCTCCCATTACTCCCTCAAATCTCCACCAAATCTTTCCAAACCAACGCCAAAATCTTCACCACATTTCCCTCTACACCCCATATCCATCAACACCACATTTTCCCCCAAAAAACTCAAGTCCAAAAATAATGCCTTACGCCCTCCCCCAAGTCCGAAATTTGTAACTCAAAATTCAAAGCATCAAGCAAAAATGGCACCAAAGAAAACAAGGGGTGAGAGTATTTCATCTAGAGCACCGGTCAGCCCGGTTATGATGGAGACGAGCACTAGGGACAGTGCTTCGAGCTAAGTGAGGGGGAATCACCCATCGGTGCGTACTTAAGTTTGATACCTTGTAAACTAGCATTATTTTCTTCGCAAAAAAAATGAAATGCTAGTTAGGTTGAAAACCCCAAAAAATGGGCAATCTAAGCAAAAAAGGGCTTACAAAAAAAATGATGAGTGAATGGAGAGGTGAAAAAATAAAAGAGATGCTAGGATGAAAACTTGAAAAGGCTCCTAGGCAAAATGTGAGATATATATTTGTTTTTACAGGACATCATTTAATCTCTTGAAGATGAAAAGAGGAGATGAGCATAAAAGGCCATGAAACCCGAGAAGATATTATTCTTTGAGCTAAACACTCAATGTAAAACCCATATGTTATCCGTGGTGGTCTTTTGCTTTTTCTGGTTGATTGTTGAATTTTTGAGGACTTGGAACTGTTAAACATTTGACTTTACTCGAGGACGAGTAAAGAAGCTAAGTGTGGGGGAGTTGATATTCATGTAATTTCCGGTTGTATGTTTGTATTTTTAACTAGTTTCTATTAGTTCTAGTTGATGAAATTACACACTTTTGGTGTAATACTTTATTTTCATATTTATTTGTAATTTGTTTAGATTAGGACTTTGAGCTAAACAGGTCAAAGATCATCCAAGGGATCAAGATTGGACCTTAACAGATCAAGGAAAGTGCAAGGAGGCAAGAAAGATTTCGATTTGGAAAAAATACTAATGTACCCGGTCGGGTATTGCCTATACTCGATCGGGTATTTGCTTGATTCGATTGTCCAAATCAAATCCGGGAACAAATGATCGTGGGAGCAAGATTTCGTTAAGATTTGTCACATACCCGATCGGGTATGCCGACATACCCGGTCGGGTATGCCCAGAAAAGTGACTTTCTGGGAAATTTCCTAAGATACCCGGTCGGGTATCCTATATACCCGGTCGGGTATCAGCCCCTGCAGCTCCCAAAAGCCTATAAATACACCCCTTTCCTCCACAATAAAGGAACCAATTCCTATATACTTCTAAGCTCAGTCTAGAATAGTTCTTTCTTTATATTTTCTTCATGTTTAGTCTCCAAATGAGGAGCTAAATTCTTCCATCTTGGTTTTGCTACTTTGAAGCTTAATGAATTTGTAAGTTGTGAGTTATTCTCTTTAATTTTCTTCCTTGAATATTAATTATTCCTTTAAATACTATTTCTATATCAATGTTGGGGAGTGTTACTAAGATGACAATTAGTTAACATCTTGACATTAGTTATAGTAATAGTTATTTCTTCCTCTATGTTAATATTGGGGAGTGTTACTAAGATGACAATTAGTTAACATCTTGATATTAACTATAGTAGGATTCATACTCTTTAATATTCTTCCTTGAGTATTAATTAATTCCTATTCATATTTCATATTAATATTTTGAGCATTACTTAAAGGATCAACTAGTTTTGTTTCATATATTAATTATTACTAGAATCAATCGGTTAATACGATTGTTATTAATTCGGTTCCTTCAACGGTAGTAAACTTGGATTATTAATGCATGCGTCTCATGGTTAATAATTTAAGGGGAATTAATTATATTGATTAAACCGATAAACCGCTTGTGTTGAGGTTATCAATCTCAATCGTTTTCATCTCAAGTTTATTGCTACTATCGTGTTAATATACGTCACGTGTTCTATATTGACTCGGTAGTAAGTTTTATTAATGAACGCGTCTCGTTATTAATAACTACCCTCGATGAACTGGATATACTCCTCGATTGAGTATTCGAGAGGAAGATAGTTAAAGATATAACCGGGATCGACGAACATTTCATTAAGTGGATAAAAGCAAAACCAAGTCCCTATCTCTATAAATTAAACTCATATAAGTCGTTCATCTTAGTGTTAATTAAATTAAATCAAATCAAACTTAACCCCCCCCCCCCCCCCCCTTGTTACTATTTTATAAAAGAAAAGTATTCCTTTCCTTGTGGATACGAACCTTACTTCACTATACTACGTATTAGTGTTGTATTGATAAATTATTTTGAGTGCACCTCACGACAAGTGCACTTCATACCCGATCGGATAGAGTTTCGTACCCGGTCTGGTAGGGTTTCGTACCCGGTCTGGTTTTATTGTTGGAGCTGGCAGTGGATTATGGGGTTGAATACTCGGCCGGGTGGTTTGAGTTACCCGATCGGGTGGATCAAATTTTATTTTCCTTGCCTTCCTCGCCCGGGTGATGGGGCGGGTGTGATGACTTTAAATTATACCCGACCGGGTTATATGTGATGCATGACCGGGTATATGCCCCAGGCGTAAAAATCTTTTGTTTTTTAACTTGAAAAATGCAAAATTAAATAAAACATGTAAACGTACCTTGCATGAGTTGCCTCTCAAGAAGTGCCCTGTTTAACGTCGCGGCATGTTGCCATCATTGTGTTCAATCGTTCAAGCTTGGATCATGATAATTAATCTTCTTCAAATTTTCATTCCTAGGACTTTCATAGAAATGCTCAATTTTTTGACCGATCACTTTGAAAATCTTTCCAGGATCAAATATCCAGATTTTCATTGATTCATGTGGTGCGAGTGATGGAAAGAAATTATTGTTTAACATGGTCAAAGAAAAATGTTCCGATCCCTCAATTTTGCTGAAGATTTCAAAAATGTCTTTATCCTTTTCAATTTTATGAGTTTCCCTCAAAGTTATTAGAACTGTTGGGGGTACCTCAAAGAATGATAAGGATAGATATTTGACCTTGAAACTCGATTCATCCTCTTCTTTGACCAGCTCGAGCTCCTTGTCTCTTTCTTCTTCTACTTCTTCTGGATTTTGGATCTCCATTTGCATTTCCTTCTCATTTGTCAATGTGATTGCAAAAGTTTGTTGTTTAGGATCACATTCTATTTGAGAGGGAAGTTTTCTCGAATCCCTTGCTTCAAGCCTACTCACGGCTTCGACTATTTGACTCACTTGAGTTTCCAAGTTTGAAATGCTAGACTTGGTCTCATTTTGGAATTGCACCATGTTGTTTTGCATGGTGGTCATGTTGGTAGCAATAGCCCGAACCATGTCCTCCGTAGACATGTTAGAGTTAGAGAATGGATCATACCTCACGTTAGATACTTTCCTTTGGAAACCAACATAATCAAGTTGTTCAAGGTATTTTTCTTGGAGCTTTGGACAAAAATCCGTAAGATGCCTGTGAGACATGCAAATGTTGCAAGTCTTGACATCTCGAGCTTTTGAGCATAAGATAGACTCCTTTATTAGAGAAGCTAAGACGAAAATTTGACTCTCTAGGGATGATGTGTTGGTATCCATATACTCATGTAAGCTCAGTAAGAAGTTCTTTTTTTGAAATAAAATAAAAAGAAAAATAATTGTCTTTCCCCTACAATGACGCCAAATTTGACGAGCACTTTTTTGTAGTGCGTCAAAATAAATTCACTACTAAGGGCTAATACTGTAGTATAGCGTAGTAGAGTTCGTATCCACAGGGAAAAGAATAATTCTCTTTTTATGAACTAGTAAATAAAAGGGGGGTTGTGGGATTGAGTGATTTAATTTAATTAAACACTAAGATGAACGACTTATATGAATTTTAATTCAAAGATAAAAGGAACTTGACTTTGCTACTTTCCACTTGTTGATATATTTAGTCAATCCTTGTTATATCTATAACTTATCCCCTCTCGAATACTCAATCGAGGAGTATCTCCAATTCAATGGTTTCGGTTTAACCAACAAAATTAATCCCTCTTAAATCTATTAACCACGACCGTGCATTATTAAACCGAAGTTACTTACTTGTGAAACCATTAACGATTAACCATCGGTTCGTTGATCATTTCTAGTAATAATTAATATTGAGATGTTAACTAATTGTCATCTTAGCAACACTCCCCAACATTAATATATAGATAGATAAAGGAAAAAATTAATATTCAAGGAGGGAAGTTAAGAAAATAACTCACAACTTTAATAATCAACAAGCTTCAAGAGCAAAACCAAGAAATGGAAGTTTAGCTCCTCATTTGGAGACTAAACATGCTGGAAAAATATAAAGAAAATACTATTCTAAGTTGAGCTTAAGTATATGGAAGAAGGGATGAATATTAGTGAAGGAAAAATGTGCTATTTATAGGTGTTTTTCAACATCTTTGGCCGGGTACCCGACCGGGTATGGTGCCCACCCGACCGGGTACCGGTCAAAATCAAATAGTTCCCATGTTAGCGTGTTCTTCGGCACGTCCAATTGTCTCCGATTAAGTTTCACCCGACCGGGTGAGGCAGTGGGCCCGACCGGGCCATGCAATTTCCATGCATGTTTGGTTTTCACATCTTACCTGACCGGGTGAAGGGTTATACCCGGTTGGGTATTTGCTCCTGAGCAGTCAAATCTTCTTTTTTTCTTCACTTCAAAGTCTTCCTTTCCAACACCACAAATTCTAACTATACTTTACAACTTACAAATGAAGACTAAAATACAATTAGAACTAAAATCACACAAATGTTTACAAACTAAATAAAATGGTAAACAATCCACACAAATCAAACATAAAAACATACATTTATGCACTACTAATTAGTGCATATCAACCACAAGTCAACACCACACACTTAATATTATATGTCATTCAAATTAAGAAATATATTGAACTAATTCTGTTTTTTATGACTCCAGCATTCCTGAAGTGCCTTTGATGCAGAAGATGCCTTGCATGCAAATGGATATGAAAGATAATATCCTATTTACACCACTCACTGTATTTTATCTAATACTATATATAAAGTCCAACTCTTTATTGGTTCTTACAATCTCTTCTTTTACGTTTTAAATGGCATGGGAGGAAATGGTTTCAGCATCAATACCCAAAGCCTATCACATTAAGCACAGAAGCATGACATTCAAACCACAGGTCAGACCCACAACATATATACAATTCCTTATTCAATTTGAGAAATAAACTTAAACTAATGACAATGATTATTATATGTTTATGACTGCAGCATGACTGAATTGAAGATGGATCTAAAAAACGCTATGCACCACCACGGAAAAGAAACGGTAAGACTATATTTCAACACATATCTTGGAATATCTATCACTATATTCCAGATGTGATAGATAACAAAACAATAAATAAATATATCTCCCAAGACACATTAAAGAAAAGCAATTTAATTTGATTTTTTTCTATCAAGTGAACCCCAAATAACAACATTAGGAACCGATGCGTAAAATAAATAAGCTTAACTGTTAAATGTATGATTTCTTGAAGCAATTTACCAAGGTTGGATCTCTTGGATCCCACCACACATGATTTAGTGATCTTAACTATATCTACAAACCCGAACACAACATCATTTACCTAAGAATAGTATCATTACCATGATCTATTTGTATCAAACTGAATACTTGAGTGGAAAGAACTAGAAAACATTTTCAATATTTATAATATTTAAAATTGATAGGCAAAACACATTGGTGGAGCACATGACTAAAGCCAACATTAGTGAGGCCTGCACACTTTAGCTGCCAAAATACATGCTAACTTCCAATTACAGTAGATAATGAGGATGTAGTGAGCCAACCAAAATCGCAGTCAACAACAAATTCCCCTCTAAAGAAACGTTTGTTCAAATATATTATACATGTAGAACGTCTTAAGACCACCTCATCCCTCACAACACCTGTAGTCAACCCCGAACCCTCCCCAACAAATCCGTAGAACCATGCGAGATCATGAGCTCCAAACACACGTGACAGATCTGCCGGTGAGAGCAGTGTTGGTGGGGGTCCTTGTTGGAGAAAACCTAGCTGAAATTCAGCATCACATGTAACACAATACCAAATATCACACAAATACCCTTCGATCGAAGACATGACGTCCCGGTGACCGAGTGAAGAACATATTCCACACCTCTTTATCACAGATTCCGCATCCACACATCCACCCAAATCACCTAAACATGCCTCGGTTCCCATTCTTCATTATCTAAAGAAATGTTAAGGTACGAAAATCTTAAAGTATATTAGAAACCAATCATATACCACTCACATTTTATTGGTTTACATTTTAAAAAATAGGAACATTTTTCTTCAATTTTAAACTCTTATATTAGAATAGATGAGTAAAGTGAGAATAATTAACCTTTAATCTCAAACACTGGATGCAGGATCTAAACCATGTAGAGTGAGGAAATAGCCAACCTCAGATGAAAGCTTGAGACTCTATGGATGGAGATTGCTACAAATGTTTTATTTGGGTAAATCTACTTCTCTTGGATAGCTTGATACGATTTGCACAACACAATGACAAACCAGATTTTTAGGTAAAAAAAAGTCAAAACCCATCATTTTCCACTAATGATAAAGGTAAATCAATTTCACCACTTAGAGCACTGTTTTGCTTTCAAAAAGCAACCTATGGCATAAGACCACACCTCCTCCATGAAGATCTCACATATTTTGAGTTGATGTGGTCAAGTACAATGCACAGTTTCTTACATTGAGCCCATCCATTCTACTGTTTTTAAAAAGTCTCTGAAATCTATTTCCCAACACAAAAACCTAGTTACTTCAGAGATAAGACCAAGAATTTGAAATTGGAAAAAATTAGAAATCAAGTTGTGATGTGTAGTCCTTGTACTGTATCGGTGAAAACCAAATGTGACATGTTTTTAAAAACAATATAAAATCTCTTTATTGTTAATTAAGAAAACAACATCAAGAACTGAATTTTTAAATTCCTGAAGCTCATTTCAAGTTGAGTTTAAAGAATGGCATCTCATATTCTTTATGTTCAATCAAGCGAAATAAAATAATTTGCACTCATAAAAGTTTTTTACCAGAAGTTATTATGTATTAAAATCTGGGGTGGGATAAAAACACTTTAACTAAATAAGTTATACTGCATAACAAACTTGAAGACATTAATTAGATTAATTTTAGTATTATTAGAAAAATTGTATTAGAAGACATGCCAAATGCTAAATAATACCCCTAGACATGACATAAATGATTGTATTATTAGAAAAACTCTTATGAGAATTGCCAAAGTGAAACTAATTGCTCCAAACATCCCAGGCATTCAGGAGGCGGTGATATTTGGTATAATATTTCATAGGATTTTTCACATTTTCTTTTTGCATACAATCTGTGTTTGCCCAAAAATTAGGTTGATTTCAAATAAATTCTCAGTGGAATTATTATTAGTTCAATATTAATACATTTGCAGCTCACAATGAATCACAATTTATACAATTTGTAACACATCTTTTTATGTTTAAACTTGCAGGAATGTGTTTGATGCCAAGAGGGATTGACCAATGCCTAGGATACTTAGTATCATTTTTAATTGTAATTTCAATCTGTAATGTATGTAATAATAGATATAGGGTAGATTTAGGACATGCCAAGCTCCGGGCCAGATTCCAGGTACGTTTTTTACGACTTGCTTAAGTTTGAATTTCTCTATATGCCAGAATCAACAACAAAGTTTAGATAACAAAAACCATATATTAAAAAGCATCTTCAATAAACAAACTGCAGTAGCTAAACCATAAGCTACTGATACACACTTTTACAAATTACATGACATTGAAATGTAACTTAAAACAAACATACAATGGTAGCTGGAACAGTGGTAGCAGAACCATAAGGGACTGGTGATCACTTTCACAAAATGCACATCACTGAAGGCACTCCAAATAACCGAGTCCAAGGCATACACCATCCCAAAAAGCAAAAAGTAGGCAACACCAATGATAACTCAAGAGTCTGTTTGGCCTATATCATTGATACTTAATCTAAAACACTAAGCAGGTATGACTGTCGTAAGAATACATATACAATAATACTACCTCCGTCCCAAAATTAACTTCCCATTTCAGATTACGATGCTTGACCGACGATAAAGCAACTCGGTCCATGTTCATACTCAGATTACTTTTAGTAAATAAAATTTACATATTGAGAAACTACATTAAAAGTGCTACAAAGGTTAATAAAAAAATAAATTTGATATATAAAACATAATGTTAAGAGTAATCTAAGTTGACCATGTGAATAGTGATTGTGAAGTTCATTCTGGGATGGAGGGAGTATACTACTAAACGAAATTGCCCGAATTTAGGACTTTCTTCACAGTTTTTCAATCTTCACCGCCTTAGGTTTCTTCGATGACGTTGATGCTGAAAAATCTCCAAACAGGTCACGCTTCACTCTGTCACCGTCCACATCCAAAACCTGCCTTTTCTCCTTAGTCATAAGTGGGCTAGACACTGTAGGCTATGAGGATCCAGCCTGAAATTCGAAGACATGATGACTCTCTTAACAATCAGGTGCTTTGAAATGAAAAACTTATAACTAACGTTAACAAACCCACTACCTTTTCAGACCCAGAAAATTTTGAAGCCAACTTGCTGAACTTATCTTCCTCCTAACAAAAGAAAAGAATAATGAGTGAACTGTATCATAAAATTTAGTCATGCAATACATAGAAAAAACTTTACGTACGCCCTTTTCGATTATCTTAGCAGAGTAGAGTGTCAGTACTTTTTGGTCCGTGTTCATCTTCATCACGCTGAAAGTCTGGTTTCCCTTAAAGTTTCTGCTCTCTTTTTGAACTGCGCTCAAATCAGCGCCTTGATGTCAATAAAAGAATTTATCTCTGATGGAAAGTAATGCGGTCCAAAGTTCCTCTAAATCAATAGCAAGCGTTAATGTTGCGTAGTAGGGAAACTAAGAAAGATGGAAATAGGATTAAAACCAACCCTAGATATCTGCTCTTTGAGCGAAGCGGCAGATTTGCCTAGCAAACAGGAGACCTCTCTATCCCAAAGCAAGAAAGAAGCATGGGTTGTGCCATCAACAACCCTCACATTGACCTTGTACCTTCATATGTTAGGGAATGGGGTGTTTAGCAAGTGTAGACCATAAGTGTAAGAGTGCATTTAATATATAAAATTCAGACCTGAGAACTGCGTCGTTCGAGCTGCAAGATACACACAAAAAGCTATCACCATTTGGTGAAACCTTCCGGTTACACCCAATGCATGAAGCGTAAGACCAATCCTTATGGCTGTCAATGGCCACAATTTCCTCATGCACCCAGTGCTTACCATCCTGTTTATCATCCAATTAAGCCGAAAAGTTAGATTGTATATGTATTTTTTCAATTATAAACTCAAACCTACAAATTACACCTCCTGCAGTTTGCTTAGTTCTTCGATAGTCAACAACTCCTGCTGCTCACTCGCAATGTCACCATCGTTGGAGTTGTCCGATGTTATGGTGAAGCTCAATCCCTGAACCGACCTTTCTCCCATCCTGTTTAAGGTTTTTTTTCCAGTAAGGATAAACAACTCTGCGAATCTTATATTTAGGATCTAGAATAAGAAGTGTTCTCGAACCTACCTAGACCTGAATTCCACAAATTCATCCCCGCTTCCATTCAAAATGACTTTAGTGGTGTTGAACACGTATGAATGTGGCCTAACCAAAATTTATTAAGTTAGTTACTCGAAGAACAACAAAGGATCATAGCTTTGTAAGACCTTAGAAAAAACCCTGGTATTTCCTAGCCCAATAACACTGGAGTAGCATAACGATTGGATCCGATGTTGTAAGCGTATATGTCAATAGCATTTCAACCATTGGTCCCCAAAGAGTGCATGCTATGACGTTTCCCATATGAAGACATTACGTTCAAATCTATTAGAATATATCAAGAAACCTTAATAAATATTTAAGAAGTATTTTATAATCAATTGTTAACTCACTCCGTGTCACCCAAAATCAGCTCCATGAGCTTCCTTGGCCTTTCATTCTTTAGAATAGTCTTAGGGTCCTAGTCATGTACCACTTGGCCTATTATATCTTTAGATAAACGTTGAATTAGATGACAATATTTAGAACACGAAGTCTTAACATAGTCTATAGGCACTGGTTGTAGTTTTAAAAAACATATAATTTTTTTGGCACGAAGTCTTAACACGAAGTCTTAAAAAACATATCCAGAGCTTGTAGCGAAGCAAAAGACACAAGTGAGAAAGTCCGTAACGGGAAGGGAACACCCTTGATCTCAAATGCAGCGCTTTTGATGAAGAAACACAGTCTATAGGCACTGGTTGTAGTTTTAAAAAACATATAATTTTCCTCCACCATAAAATTTTTGACCGCGAAAACACGACCTTCCTTGAATATACCGTTAAACCTGTTGATGTATTGGTCCGGAATGTGTGCATGCATTTTTTATCCCTGAAATTTAGAATGTTAAAATTATAAAAAGGAATTTGGAATGAAAAAGTAAAATTTTAAATTAGGTACAGAGTGAGCATATAGGTTAAAATCTAGAAAATGTATAAAGAGAACATAAAAAACTGTGTTTTTTCACTATATGACCATCTTGATCCTATTTATAGAACATACAAAAACTGTGTTTTTCATACATTTTCTCCCTAAAACTTCCAGCATAATACATCCCCACATTTTAGGTTAAACTTGGAAAAGCAAATGGTCTAGGTTGATCCCGAAACACAATACATTCGTTTTAACTTTTAACTCCAATTTGTGCACATTGGATCACTTTTAATCATATATGGGGACGCAATTCAACCAAAGATAGACAAACCTCCTCATCATGAAACACAATCTCTAGTGACTCCGGAAAGCAGTCGTGTGCCGATTCACGATAAACGCGTATGTCTTTCGCTTTGAACGCCCATGTGGTCTTGCTCTGATCTGTGTCACGGAATAAAGACCACATGCCAACCATCTTAAGTTTTTTTCCTTCTATTTTTGTTTGCTTTGGTAGAGCTCAAATGTGGGGGATATTGGCCATTTCGATTGCCAATTTATAGTGGTGGAGCTTAGGCTAGCAGCTGAACCCACACACGGTTGACCTCCAAATCCACCAATCGGAGAGGTTCTTCAAATGAGAGGGAACACTGTTAAGGCACATTTCAAATTTTAAATAGTGTCAGCAAATTGATTGGTCGAATAAGGCACTGGAAAATCCAGGCCAAATCCTCACAACAACTATAAATCAAATCACACGCGTGGTTGTTTATCCACCTTCCCACCCACTCAATGATATGTCATATCAATTTTAAAAATCACTGTTTATTTCTTATAAGCTGAGCAATAGAAAAGCTTCAATGAAGTGAGTGGGAAATCTAGATCATATCCCAATAGTGCTCTGAACAATTCACACGCAAGATGCAAATCCATTTAATAATCACAAAAAGTGTAGTGAGCATCCTTTTTAAACAATTCCACATGCCACCATTTGATGAAAATTTGGATTCATGAGTTTTTTATCCGAAACCATGAAAGGGACATTTTAAGCGGGAGTTTCACCCCAAAAACATTTTGCTTTTACATAATTATACGTAATAATAATAATAATAATAATAATAATAATAATTATAATAATAAGAGAAAACTCTCAAATAGGCCCTCGTACTTTAACAAATTTCTCAATTAAGCCCTCGCGCTTATTAATCACTCAACGAGGTCCATGAACTAACCACAAATACACAATCACGCTTTTTAGCCGGTGGGATGCAGGTTTGCCTGTTACCCGCTGACCTGGACGCCCACGTGTCCCTCCCTTACCCGGCCTTTTAAATGATGTGGCTAATCCACTTATAAACTAACTAACTAAAAGCCTAAATTTTAAAACTTAAAAAAAAAACAAAACCCTAAATTCCCTCTTTCCCCTCTCCTTCGTTCGAGCTTCTATCTGGTTCGCAATTCGCAAGTATGTCGTCTTCATCGTCATCAACGGTAGTCAAAGAACAAAGCCGCATTATGGACTACGAGCCTACTGTTTATTGTTGGTGTGGATTGAAAGCTCCTCTATGCATTGGACGAGAGAGTGGGAGAACTTTCTATGGATGTCAAAAGTGGAAGGTAAGTGTATAATTTGGGTGTGTGGTTTTGATTGACACTGTTTTTTCATGTTCATTGCTTGCGAATATGATATAATTCAGGTAGGGAGCTGCGGTTTTTTTATGGAAGGAAGACTTAGGAATCAAAGAAATTACTCCTACACAGAAGATGGAAATTGTGAGGGCTGAAGACAAGAGTGAAACCGTAAAGGAATTGAAGAAATTGGTTGAAGCACTGTCGAGGCAGATGTCACATGTACAGACTGAGCTTGGGTCTGTGAAAACTGTGATTGACAATGAAGCAAAGGTTAACAAAAAGAGTAGGAAGTTCTATGGCTTAGCTATGATTGTACTTCTGGGTTTAGTATGGAGTATGTATTTGGGGATGTAACCTTACTTTATGAGTTATGGATGAAAACTGTGAACTATTTTTTATTTTCTTAGTTATGTATCTTCTAATGGGTTGTAATGGCACATTTTTTGTTGAATTAATGAATCTGAACTTGCTTCTTATGCCTTCCTTCTTTGACAATGTAATTCTTATGCTATTTCCCCTGATGGATGTAAACTTGGGTAAACATTATAGGTACAATGTCATAAGAATCCAATATCAGTAGTTACATAATTATCAGTAGGGGCCTGGGGCCAATTTTCAATGTCAGACTTGGACATGAATCCAATATTTTATTGGACAACCAGACTTGGTCTTTAACAACTAGACTTGGACATGGGTGTAAACCTGGCTATCAACTGCAGTGATAGTACTCACAGGGTCAGTAGCTAGAACATGAAGAGATGTTAAAACTTGTGCATCAACGAGTGGCTCATGAATCACAAAGGCAAATACATCAACATAGGAAATAGCATTAGTATCAAGAACATTATAGTCATCAACTGAGGTAAGAACATTATAGGTACAATGTACCAAAAAACAATGTTGGCTACCATTGTGATGCAAAAAACCAAACTTGGACACATTACAAGACCACCAGTACTGACACTTGTTCATATTACGTGTCATGAATTACTGCCTACATGCATACAACACAACAAAAACTTTGGAGTATTACACATGCATATTAAATCACATCTAAACTAAACTTCCAACATTCAACCTCTATCACTTCATTGACCTCCTTCTACTCCATCTCCATGGTAGCCTCCTGTTACAACTGTTTCTCCTATTTGTTCAGGCCGCATTTAGGCAAAAAAAAAAACAAAGTTCTAAATTATACATTTGAATATGTAAACATCAGACTTCAAATAATGTTGGGATAAACTTACTTCCAAAATGGTCATCCCTGTTGATTCATCAAAATAAACACCAAATCCCCTTTGACTACCCCTCCTCTTACCTCCACCCCTCTTACCTTCCCCCCTTTTACTTCCTCCCCTCTTTCCTCCTCCCCTCTTTCCTCCTCCACTATGAATACTGCGCCCCTCCTATGTCCCAGTTCCAACACTACCCACATGATCACCTACCACACTTTCAAGACTCCCCGTGTCACCTCTACCCCTTTGAACACTCCCTCTTCCTCCCCTATTTGTTCTACCCCTTTTACCTCTTCCAGTTTCAGCACTCCTATTTTCCCCTTGCTCCTCTTGTGTGCCATTTTCTTCTGTGTTGGGTATTTGCCTTTGTGAACATGATTTATTGTTGTGGCCATCCACACCACATACAGAGCATTTCATGATCCTTCCTTTTCTTGGTAGGTGGGTCCCTGATGGTGCACGAGGTTCACTTGCTTCCTTCACTCTTTTCTTCTTAGGGCGGCCACTCATTTTCTTTGGTATGGGCGGATGAATGTCTTCATGCTGGGTTCTTGGCCACAGTATTTGTCCATTTATTGGCTGCAGAGTGTATGAGTATGTCTTTTCATATAGTTCCTTGGAGTAGCATGAGTCCACATAGCTTTCAGGGTCCTCACCTTTATCTAGAATGGCACAAATGGCATGTGCACAAGGAATTCCACATAGATCCCATCTTCTGCAAGCACATGTCCTTTTGTTGAGGCTGACATTGTATTGAAATCTGCCTTTTTTAACTCATATCCATCATCCCCATTGAAATCAACATGTCAGCCTTGAATAGCTACTACATTCTTGTTCAATTTCTTCATTATGAGGGGACCAAATGGACCTGCACAGAAGATAGCAGAAATGGCATAGAATGAATGATGGAAACTGATTTCATACTAAAGTCTAAATAAGCATTGTAAATAATCATCACCTGCCCACTTCTTGACATACTTTCTTTTTTAGCTATTCTCTTCATCATAGCCACTCTTATGCCCTCAAGCATTGGGATAAGGGGCTTGTCTCTGAGTTGAACTAGAGTGTTGTCTATAGTATCACACTTCCACTGAGTCCTGAAATAAGCTTTGCACCACAGTTTGAAAGGAATCTTGCGCAAGTCTGTACCAGCTTGAGGGTCAAGCTTGTCCAATTCACTTAAAGCAGCCTGCAAATGCCCTTCAGATGTGGCCTTTGCACATTGCCAGAACAGTCTCTTCAGCATCAATCCTCTGTGATTTTTGGCACAGTTGGCATGTATATGCCTAACACAATTCCTGTGCTTAGAACCTGGAAGTACATTTGCAATAACATGTTCTAGTCCCTACAGAGAACAATACATTTGCACAATAAATATGATAAATTAAGCAACAATTTATAAACATCAATAACATTGTAGTATAACAAAACATACTTTTTGTTGATCACTTATTATGGTCCAATCACCAGGGTTGTTCATCTGCAGGTCTTCCTTCAGATGCTCTAAAAACCAGGTCCATGATGAATTATTCTCAATTTCTACTACTGCCCAAGCAATGGGGTACATTTGATTATTCGCATCTCTTCCCACTGCGCTTAAAATCTCCCCCTTCAACTGCCCTTTTAGAAAACAACCATCCAATCCAATAACCTTTCTACAACCTTCCAAAAATCCTTTCTTTACTGGTCCAAAGCACATATAAATCCTCTGAAAGACCATTGGAGCATCAGGAACAACTCTTTCAGTTTTAATGACTACTGTACTACTAGGAATTGATCTCAAAAGTTCCTCAGCATAATTTCTGATTCTCCTGAACTGGTCCTTAAAAGCAGATTGTGTTTTGTCTTTCATTATTTTTAATGGAGCCATACTAATAGACACACTGAGTTTATGTTCATCCTTAAGCAAGTTCTTAAGCAATGCAGCAGTTGTAGATGGTTTAGTATCTGCAGATATGCATTCAACTACCCCTCCAACATACATGTCATGACCATCACAGTTGAATTTCCTCCCATGGTGTAGTAGTAGTTCAACTGTGTCAAACATTCTACAAATATAACAACAACACATCATCATTTAACTTCAGACATTCTACATTCTACAAATATAACAATAACACATCAAAGCACAACATCTAACTAAAGCATAGCACAAAAAAGGTCACATAATAAGCCAGGTCTTCGAAAGGGATCAAATGTCTCAAACATTAACATCTATACGCAAAATATAAAGTGTAGAACTAATCTCATAACAGAATTACAGGGCAGCTAGAAGAAGGTACCTTTCAGGTCTTCCTACCACTTCAACTGAACAACACGCTTCCAAATGAATGTTCCTTACAGGACTTCGCAGTACTTCGATGCAACTTCCGTCTTCGAACAACAGCCCTAACAGCCCTTCACAACACTTGCTTGAACTCGCGCGACCTAACTATCTCCTCTAAGCATCTGCTTCATGAGTTCGTAAGATAGAAGCTCGAACGAAGGAGGGGAAAGAGGGAATTTAGGTCTGAGGTTTTGTTTTTTTAAGTTTTAAAAGTGGATTAGCCACATCATTTAAAAGGCCAGGTAAGGGAGGGACACGTGGACGTCCAGGTCAGCGGGTAACAGGTAAACCGACATCCCACCGGCTAAAAAGCCTGATTGCGTATTTGTGGTTAGTTCATGAACCTCGTTGAGTGATTAATAGGTGCCGGGGCTTAATTGAGAAATTTGTCAAAGTACGAGGACCTATTTGAGAGTTTTCTCTGAGAAAATAATATAAATTGATGTACAATTTGATGAGCAGATAGCCTCTTTACCAAAATTCCTGTTTTTTTTAATTGGCTCCATACTTCTTTTTCTGGGGTTACCGAGCCTAAAAAGATGCAGAGAAGAGATATAGGCAAGCAAGGATGTGGTTCTGGCCCCTCGCTTGCTAAGAGAGGCCGCCCAATTGGCGGTAGTGGGAGTATCCCGCCCACGACCGCTGCCGCGGCTACTGACTCAGTAGCTCCCCCGACACTCCTCGGGCCGTCTCTTCAAGTTCACTCGGCTTTCGCTGGTTAGTCGTACGGAAAACGCCGGCGGACACACATTTAATTCTCACGTTCTTGAGTTACATGGATTATTATTTTTCCACTCTTTTTCGACACAGGCGGAGGATAGTAGTCATCTAAAACCCTACATCTGCATAGAATGTGCCGACTTGAATTAATAACAGTTCAATTAAATCAGTTTACCTGTGAAGCTATTTTCTTTCTCACACAAAATAGCCTAACTTCTTAATTAAATATTTAGATTTAGCTTATAGACATGGCTCCACTTTGTGCTTATTTTGAGAACTTTAATTATATTAAAAAATGTTCCCCTAGAAACTTGAATGTTTAATTTCCTGCTAATCGTACAGAGGGGTGTGGTATGTTTGGGTGAAAACCCAAAAGTTCATTACTTTGCTTGACGGCTACTTCCCAACTCCTTGACATTACACGACTTTATTATAGTTTAAAGAATCAGACATGATAAGGTTATGGAATCTGTTAATTTCTCTGGTTCCATTCTTAAATCTTGTTCTAAATTCTCCGTAATGCTTAACCAGAGCAAAATAATAAAAGGATTGTTCTGGCTCTTCAAAGTGGCCTGAAGAGTGAGCTAATGTGGGCATTGAATACCCTCACATTACTCTCATTCAAAGAAAAAGATGATATTCGCAAAGATGCTACACCGCTTGCCAAGATTCCTGGATTGCTTGATGCTTTACTTCAAATTGTAAGTTTTCTGAAGTACAATATACATTTTGCTATTGTCTATAGAAATTTCTCAACAAAAAGAGGGAACAGAACATTTACCCTCTCCTCCCTTGAAATGATTGAACCAAATATAGCCTTAGCGATGACAAAGAGTCCATTTCCACCCCCCTCCTGTCCATTCAAATTATAATAGCAGGGATCAAACCTTGATTTGTGAATGAATGGTGATCCAAACGATTTTATTTGTTTGGATCACGTTGGAAATCATCTTCTAAATCCGTCATACCCATTAATTTTTTGTTTTATTTATTTGGTTATCGGGGTGTTACTTTATCTGCTAAAGCATCATTATATGCATTTGTCCATTATCTCTACACATGAAAAGCGATAACAACAATGGATGGACTAGATGGTTTTTATTATATGTATAATCAACAACAACAACATTGCCCGAGTGCCACAACCCTTCAGTGGGGTAAGGGGGGATCGGATGTACACAACCTTACCCTTGTACTAAAGCACAAAGATGCTGTTTTCGGATGACTCATGATGAAAATCACGTCGAAAATTACATGGACTGACTGCTCCTTCATAACAAAGAAGCGTGCGCAGTTCAGTGAGTCATTTTGCTTTATTCCATCGTATTACCAAACAAAAAATAGTGCGTCTTTGGCTCTATTGGAAATGATGGACCATTTTATTATATGTATAATCGAGTTTGGAATTTTTAATGAATTTTATGATGGATTATAAACAAGTTAATCCAATACTTAGCATCCATTCAATATAAATCAAATAAAGGTTTATCTGATCCATCCATTTACATCCTTAAGCGATCTTAAAACAGATTGATGACTGGCGAGAAGTAGCCCTTCCAAAGGTGTATGTAAAGACACGTAGGCTTAGTCTTTCAAGTGCAAATGTGGCTGTTACGGGATTTTTGAATGAGAATGAGGTATCGCGCTCAAACAATCCGGTTCCTCAGCCAAGGTAATTTTACATGCTTGTACTTGAATCCTAAAATTCTTATTTCTAATTGTCATTGGAATTAAGAAAATGCACATGGTGAATGATTCTTCCATTGCAGCTCAGGATCAGGGTCTTCCAATAAAGAGGCGTCTGCTCAAAATCCTAAGGCTAAAGCGTGTTCTTCTGGTTGGTGGCTTGAAGATGGCTTGTTTAATGTCGATGAGGAAGTGCGTGCTGAAAAGCAGCTATGTGCTGTTGCTGCTTCTAATATTATCCGCAACTTTTCATTCATGCCTGACAACGAAGTTATCATGGCTCAACATCGACATTGTTTGGAAACACTCTTTCAGTGTATGGAGAATTGTGGTAAAGGTAGGCCAAAAATCAATACTATGTTTCATCTTCTGCTGTGATAATACTGCATTGTGGCCTGATAAGGGCCCTAGATCTGTTATTTTGTTTCTAGTTCTGTATATTGTATTTCTGTTTCTAAGAAATACCAAAAGTTCTTCATTATCAAGTATTTGTTAACAGAGGATGATGAGCTGGTGACAAATGCCCTTGAAACAATCGTGAATTTAGCCCACTTATTAGACCTTCGAATCTTTAGCTCATCAAAGCCTTCCTTCCTTACAATGACGTATGTACTTGTTATGCTTCTTCATGTTTATCTTGCTATCAAATCTTAGTTATTAACTTCCACGTGCTGGTTTTTCTTTCCAGAGAAAAGCGTGCTGTTCTTGCCATCAGGGAATTGCTTGGGTCTACTGTCAAGGCCTGGCATTGCGCAGCTGCTGAATTAATCAGCCGCCTGATAATAAATCCTGATAATGAATTTTTCCTTCTTCCTTATGCTTCACAGGTTCCTTAAGTTCTGTTTGGAAACAGCAAAAGGCCAAGGAAAGAAAATAGGGGAGAAATTTGGATTTGGAAGGAAATAAATTTTGAGGGAAAAAAATTGAAAATTTTGTTCAAACTCAATTATTAATTCTAAATATGTGATCAAAGTTCAAATATTTTGTTTATATATTTCTATTACGAAGCATTGCATAAAGGCAGAGAAATCAAAGTCTGTAAAAAAGAAATTTTTTAATATCAAATTGGATTTTCCTTCTTAGTTTCTGAGGTAAAACTGAACATTAAAAAAACTGTTTTATTTGGTAGCATTTCCTGGGTCTTTTCACTGGAGTTTTCTGTGTTCCAGACATAGGCACATAGCCTTAAGCCCTTAACATTATCTGTTCAGCTAAAAACTGCAAGTCTGTAATAGATAACAAAAATAGATATGATTCAGTTTTTTGATGTTTTGCAGATATATACAAGATTAGTTGATATTTTGAGCTTGCCAACAACTGATGCTCAAGCAGCTGCTATTGGAGCCTTATACAACCTCACAGAAGTCAATATGGATTGCAGACAGAAGCTTGCTAGTGAGCGATGGTGAGATGATATCAATTATATTTATGTACTGTAGCAGCTTACATTTTGTATTTAGATTCTTTCTACTTCTGGTCTCGCGACTATTATGTCATAACTCATAACCACTTTTGGCTGTTGACTTTCTTTAATTCGCTTTTACTGCATGGCCGTGGGTTGTTGCCACCATTTTCCATTCCGGTCACGTGTGTGCAAAATTCAATAGGAAATTGTACGAAAGTTGATCGGATAAGTGATGTAAAAGGCCAAAAGTGGAAAAAATCTGTAGTGGTACACTAAAGTGAAAATAGTGATAGTGGTTCACTAAAACTGGAAAGTTTTCTTGTATATAGTTCTCACATGAGTAATGGAGTCTTTGATGAAAATACAGGGCCATTGATAGGTTGCTGAAGGTGATCAAGTCTCCTCATCCTGTCCCAGAAATTTGCCGGAAAGCAGCTTTAGTTTTGGAGAGCCTTGTGTCAGAGCCACAAAACAAAAATGTTCTCCTGGGGTATGAAAATGCGTTTACAGAGATGCTTTTTGGGGACTCCAAGTATTCCGATATATTTGCACGGATATTGCACGAACTAACATCCCGCCCAAGCAATAAAGTAACAACCGCGAGAGGTATTTGGGGGATGTGAGTAAAGTGCTTTGGTGTAAACAAGTAAATGCCGAAACAATGAAACACACCCTACCCAGTACCCACCTATCTCAAGTAGCTAGTACCGATGTGTTCTAAAGATTTGCTAAAGCAAATCTTAAATAGCAGACTAGGTTCAATTGATTGGTTGACTACGACTATCTAATACCCCTTCGTCGTGATATCTTTTTTCTTTCTCTCATTGATAGGTATGGACTCGGGCCGGGTGGCCCGACCCGGAACCGGCCCGGGACCGGTACTGTTCCGGCCCGGCCCGACCCGGTGGCCCGGTCAGTGACCGGTCCGGGTAGGCCCGGCCCGTGGGTTTTCCGGTCCGGGCTCGGGTCACCCAAAACAAGGCCCGACCCGGCCGGGCCCGGGCCCGGTTCGGGCCAAAAACAATTTTTTTTTTTTTGCAATTTTTTTTAAAGTTTTGGGTTGGGCTGGGTATTTTGGGCCATTTGGGGGTGGTTTGAGGGTTGGGGGTGGGAGGGGGGTTACTTAGGAAGAGGAAAACAAAAAAAAAAATTATAATGGGCCCGGCCCGGCCCGGCCCGGACCCGGACCGGACCCGGTGGTTACCCGGGCCGGTCCCGGGTCCACCATTTCTGACCCGCGGCCCGCCCGGGCCTAGGCCCGACCCGGACCCGGCCCGGACCCGAGTCCAACCCTAAGTCATTGATAATAGCCTATCTAATTGATAACTTAATTCATATTTAAAAAAGATGTCTAGATACAAAGCCATCAAATTAAGAGTTACACTGTGATGAGAACCGCTACTTTGCGGGCCCGGCTCGGCCCGGGTGACGGTTGGGCGGTTCGGGCTTTGAACCGGCCTGGTAGGGTAGGGCGGTTCGGGCACGGGTCATTAAAAATGCGAACCGGCCTGACCGGTTCGGGCCTGGTCCGGTCCTAACGGTTATTTTTTATTTTTATTTCTTTTCCAGCCAAACAAGGCCTTAAGACCATTGCATTCAAACCCAAACGGCTCTATAGCCGTTGGGAGGCTCCCTGGGGTCCCAAGGTGGGTTGGGGTGGGGGTGGGGTATAAAAAATCTATAAACACTCCATTTTTTCTATACAATTTACTACACATCTTCTTCAAATATTCCTACTATCTAATCTCTATTCTCTATTAATCTTCTCCATCTTCATCTTCTCAAATTTATAACTACATATATTATATTTATAAAATTTACCATCTACTTATTATCTACTCTTATATTAATATCTAATTATTAAGATGGAACATGGTAGAGCTTTGATGATAAATTTTATAAATATAATATATGTAGTTATAAATTTGAGAAGATTAGTAGAGAGTAGACATTGGAGAGTAGGAATATTTGGAGAAGATGTTTAGTAAATTGTATAGAAAAAATGGAGTATTTATAGATTTTTTTGTACCTCCATCCCACCCCCACCCCAACCCACCCCGAGACCCCAGGGAACCTCCCAACGGCTATAGAGCCGTTTGGATTTGAATGCAACGGTCTTAAGGCCTTGTTTGGCTGGAAAAGAAAATAATAATAAAAAATAACCATTAGGCTCGGACCAGGCCCCAACCGGCTTAAAAAATAAAACGATACAGTTGTATACTCTATTAAAAATTTCCGGTCATCACTCTTTCTAATAGAATTATTAGAGGCTTAGTATTGTAGTTTACATTAAACTCTCTTTAATATAAATATATCTGTCAGGGCTCCTTAGGGAGTAACATTTTCCATTATTCTCACATGCTATCAAGAGCACATTAATTTTTTTTCGATCTTCTCTCACTACACGTTTGGCGCCGCGAGCTAACCCTAGAGCCGCCGCGAGCTAACACTAGCGCCGCCATGGTTTATTCTCCTGCGCCATGACGACTTCCGCAGCCCTCAGCACGGTGTCCTCTCCGGCCCAGCAACCTTCCCCTGTCGTGGCCAGCATGTAGAGCCATTAACCGGCGCTCCACTGACTTTTGGAACGCAGCCGCCGCGCACTTCCTTCTCTACCGGTGTGATGTTCTCCTCCAATTTTGCATCACCAAGCCGGATCTCTCTGCCATATTCTCTGTTCCAGAATGTCCCAACAGTGTTTGCATGGTCAGCTCCAGTTCTTGTGCAGGTCGTACCTCTAGAACCGCCACCCTTTTCGACTGGATCATCGTTTGTCAGTCCCATCTTTGTCGGCTCACCTGGTGTCTTCTTCGTTGTACCACCCTCTCGTACACCAGCAGGCAGCCCGGTCGGATCCCTTCTCACTGATCTTGCTCAAATCATCTCTCATGTGACAACCAATGTCACAAATATTGTGACTACCAAACTTTTAGCGGTGGAAGACTACACTACTTGGCGGACACAGTTCGAATCGTTTCTGATGTCCCAAGCTCTCCTTGGCATGGTTGATGGCTCCATTCAGGTACCACCTCCTTATTCCATGGATGCTCTTAACCGTCAAACTCCCAATTCGGGATTTTTCACTTGGTTGAGAATTGATCAAACAATCTGTTGGTTATTTGCAACCTTGTCGCGGGATGTTCTTATAGATGTTCCTGATTTAAAACATTCCTATGAGATTTGGAAACGGTTGGAGTCTCGATTTATGTCTGCCAGTTTAGTCCGATCTATGGAATTAAAACGGTTATTTAATCAAATAAAAAAGAAACCTGATCAGTCCATGGATAATTATCTGCGAGAAATTAAAACATTAGCTGATGATCTTGCCACAATCAATTACCATGTGCCTCCTTGTGAATTATTAAAGACTACTATTATGAGACTGGGACCTGAGTATGAATCTTTATTCACCGCTGTGTCATTATTTGGACAAAATTTCCCATTTGAAACTCTCCGTAATGATCTTCTTGAGTTAGAACAATGAGTTATTTATCTACGCTCCCAGGAGTCCTCGTCCCTCCATCAGGCTTTCGGCGCAGCTGTCACTTTCCCCGGACAGCCCACTGGCCAGCAGACGGGCCAACAGCAGTCGGGTGCACACTACCCGGTCGGGCAGTCCCACACCCGGTCAGGCAACAACGGTAGACAGGCTCCCAGCAGAGAGGCAGATGCCGTGGTCGCGGGAGAGGCCGCGGTGGCAGGGGGCGTGGTCGAGGACAGTATCCAGTCCAGTATGGTCAGCCGCTGGCATACTGGTATCCTCAGCGGCAGTCTGTTTATAACCCCAGAGGGGGTGGTCGGCCAGGTTCAGCTGGATATGCTCCACACGCAGGGGGTGTGGCATCTATAGGTACTGTTATTTGTGATTCTGCTATGTCACATTTAAATATTAATGCATTACTTGTTTGTGTTACTAACCTTAGTTCTGTAGGCTTGACATCAGATGAGGGTATTCTTGGATCTGTTCCCCATCCTGTTGTCTGTCAGATTTGCTTTTCTGCAGGTCATTCTGTTGTTACCTATCCTTCTCGTTTCACACAACCATCCGCTCCTGCTCTGTTGACTACTCCTGGTGAAGCTAATCCTACTTTATGGTTTCCCGATTCGGGAGCTTCTGCTCATATGACTGCATCTGAAAGTAATTTAGTTAATAAATCTCCCTACACCGGACATAATTGTGTTAGTGTTGCCAATGGTGCCTATCTCTCCATTCATCATGTTAGTGATGTTGCATTAGTTACTTCTGGTCGTCCTCTCACGTTAAAATCTGTTTATCATGTGCCTCATTTAAAATATAATTTAATTTCAATTCAAAGGCTCTGCGCTGATAATAACTGTACTGTATTTTTTGATAAAAAATCTTTTTTGATTAAGCACAAAGCATCGGGGGCAGTGCTTCTGCGAGCTAACAGTAGTGGGCCACTTTATCCTATCAGTCTGCCATTATCATCACCATTAGTTTTGCTTCAGTTTTAGCTTCTGATCCTGTGTGGCAGCGTAGATTAGGTCACTGCGTTGATAGTATTTTACAGTTTCTTAAGAGAAAACAATTTTTATGTAGTCATTCTCCTTTTACTCATGAGTGTGTGGCTCGTCGCTTAGGAAAATCACAACGTTTGCCTTTTATGGATGCTAGTGATAATTCTATTTTTCCTCTTGAAATTATTCATTCTGATGTGTGGCAATCTCCTGTGTATTCTAATCTGGGATTCAAGTATTACGTGTGTTTTATTGATGATTTTTCTCGTTATACTTGGATTTATCCCATGTGTCACAAAAATGAGGTTTTTATGCACTTTAAAAATTTTAAAGCTTTGGTTGAAAATATTTTTAATCAGAAAATTAAAATTTTTCAAAGTGATGGGGGAGGTGAATTTGTTAATCATAATATGCAGCAATTCTTTTCAGATAATGACATTTATTTTCAGTTAACTCGAACCATGCTTCTTGAAGCCTCTGTTCCGAGTTAATATTGGGTTGATGCCATTTTTATTGCTGCCTATATCATTAATAGATTACCGTCTCCTACCTTAAATGGCCTTTCTCCGTAACAAAAACTTTTTAACCGTGTTCCGGACTACTCATTTTTGCGAGTATTTGGATCCGCATGCTATCCTAATTTTTCGGCCACATCAGCTAATAAATTATCACCTCGTTTTATTCAGTGTGTTTTTATTGGCTATGCATCTGGTTATAAGGGCTATAGTTGTTTTGATCCTATCACAGGTCGAGTTTATGTCAGTCGTCACGTTAGGTTTCATGAGGACACATATCCCTTTAAAACACTTTCATTACCCGGTCGTTTACCTTCTAGCACCATTACACCATCACCAATGAACCTCACCGATATTACCCTTGACCCACCTGCCCAGTCCACTACCCACACCACGAGCCAACTCCCTCCACCGCCCTCATCACTTTCTTGGTCACCTATCAATCCCAGCACTCCTCGTGTACCATCGCCCTACACATCCTCCCCCATATCACCTCTCTCCTCCCTCGATAGTACTCCATCATGCCAGCCGAATACATCTCCGGACACCTCCTCGGCTGACCATGTCTCCACCGTACCCACCTCCCCTATGCTCACTACGGTAGTCAATCAACATCCCATGCAAACCCGTGCTAAGTCGGGAATTTTTAAGCCTAAAACAGTTTTTAATTTAAGTACGGTTATTACTCTTGCAGATCCTACATGTTTTATTGAGGCTAATAAACATTTAAAATGGCGTTAGACGATGGCTGATGAATTTAATGCACTCATTAATAATAACACTTGGGAGTTGTTTCCCTTTGACAGCTCTAAGAATATTGTTGGATGTAAGTGAATTTATAAAACTAAATTTCATTCTGACGGATCCTTAGAGCGCCATAAAGCTGGATTAGTTGCACATGGTTTTAATCAGCAGGCATGTATTGATTTTTCTGAAACTTTCAGTCCTGTCGTAAAACCCACCACCGTTCGTATTGTACTTACTATTGCTATTTCTTTTGGGTGGGTTATACGCCAACTTGATGTTAAGAATGCCTTTGTGCATGGTCATCTAACAGAAGAAGTTTATATGCGTCAACCCCGTGGTTTTATTCATCCACAATTTCCTAATCATATATGTCTTTTGCGCAAGGCCATTTACGGTCTTAAGCAAGCTCCACAGGCCTGGTTCCATAGATTTAATAGCTTTCTTCTGCAACATCACTTTTCCTGTAGTAAATCTGACAATTCTTTGTTCATTTACCGCCAAAATAATACTATTATTTATTTATTATTATATGTGGATGATTTTATATTTACTGGCAATTCGGAGTCATCTGTTACCCAATTTATTTCGATTATCTCTAATCATTTTGCTATGAAAGACTTGAGTAATCTCCATTATTTTCTGGGGGTCGAGGCTATTCGTTCAGCCAAAGGTATGTTTCTCTCTCAACATAAATATGTTTCTCATCTTTTAGCCCGCTTTCATCTTCATACAGTCAAGCCTGTTCGCACCCCGTTAGCTTCCCGTACCACTCTGTCTCTTTCTGATGGTGAGTTACTGTCAGATTCTACTGAGTATCGCAGCATGTTGGTTCCTTACAATATTTAACTTTGACACGACAATATATTACTTATGCAGTACACTCAGTGTCTCAGTTCATGCATGCTCCTCGTACCACTCATTTTTTGCAGTCAAGAGAATTTTCAGGTACTTGAAGGGAACACGAGATCATAGGCTATGGCTTCAGCAGTCTAATCGGCCAACCTGTGTAGTTGCTTACTCCGATACTGATTGAGCAGGTTGTCCTAATAGTTCTCGGTCTACCACAAGCTTTGCTGTCTTTTTGGGTCCGAATTTGGTTTCTTGGAAGACTAAGAAGCAGCCTACCGTGTCGAAGTCCTCCACAGAAGCGGAATATCGTGCGATTGCTTACACTGTAAAAGACACACTACATATCCGGTATGTTCTGTTCGAGCTTGGATGGCCAATCACGGAGCCGGTTCATTTATTGCGTGATAATATCTCTGCTTTTTATTTGACTGCAAATCCTGTTCAGCATGCCCGCAGTAAACATATCCAAATTGATTATCACTTTATTCGCGAACGGGTTGCTCATGGAGATCTGATTGTCAAACATGTTCCTACTCATCTACAGCTGACAAAAATCTTTACTAAAAGTCTCCTTAGTCAACGTTTTCATTTTTTAAAAGACAAGTTGCGCGTTGTATCTCCCGCACAGCTTGAGGGTGTGTAAGAGAATTATTAGAGGCTTAGTATTGTACTTTACATTAAACTCTTTTTAATATAAATATATCTGTTAGGGCTTCTTAGGTTGTAACCTTTTCCATTTTTCTCACACTTTCTTCATGTCAATTGCCGATTTCCGGAAAGCTCTCTAGCACCTCTGTTGCCGACATGAATCCACTGCTTAATATCTTAGATGGTCAAGGCGGTGCAGAATGTCTCGTTTTATCCTCACATGTTGCCACTGACGATCCAATTATCTCTTGGGTTTGGTCTTATATTTTTATCATCTTTTGCATTCGGGTTAGTTGACTGTGTGGGCATATAAAAATTATTGAACCAATGTTCAATTCTATTGGGCTGCTCATGATGATTATTGGGCCTTAAAAAAATATTAATATGGATCCATTCGGATAAAATTTAATAATTAAATTAATTCGGGTCTACATACCCAATTGATTCAATTATAAATTAAATCTTTAAAAGAATGGACCAATCCTATTAATTTATTTATTTTGAGCCCAGTATTAAATAATGGCCCAATAAATAAGAGACATGATCCAGTATATGAAGAGGAAGACGAATCTAGTTAAGAAAGCAGTCCATATGCATGGAAAATGGCTGCGAACCTTGTTAAAAAGGTTGTCCAGATAGATCAAACAAGTGCTGATTTTTTTAGCTATCAAATACAAGCAAATAGAGCCCAAAGCCCATTTTCTTTGAGACCCTAAGCATATGAACGAATTTCATGAAACCCTAAAGCATTTTTTCACCCCCTCACACCTATAAATAGGGGTCTCAGTTGAGAGGAAAGGGGAGAGAATTTTCAGACGAAGAAACGTTGCAGAAAAGCTCTCAAGAACTCCCGAAAGGCTTTGAACGATTCCGAAGAAGAGGAATAGATTAAGGCACGAATTTTATTAAGAATATATGAATAATCCTTCGTGATTTCGTCGATTCTTAATAAAATAAATCCAAAAGTTGAAGAACGTTCAAAGATCTGAAGAACAGAGCTTGAAGATTCGAAGATCTGAAGAACAAGACTTTGAAGATTCGAAGATATGAAGAATGAATCTTTGAAGATTTGAAGATACTCATATGAAGATTGAATTGAAATTCAATTGAAGATCAAGCCATATATCCCGGGAGGCCCTTAAACAAAAGATCAAGCCATAAAACGGCCCTTTTGTTGAAGATCAAGCTACTTGAAAACCGGAGGGCCTTCAAGTTGAATTCTTAATTCAAGAAGATTTAAAGATCTAACAAACGAAGATTCGAAGATTCGAAGATCTCAAGAACGAAGATTTGAAGATATGAAGAACGTTCGAACGTTTGAAGGATTAACGATTTAATTTTGAATTAATTTCTTTAATTATATTCATGTCAAATTGAAAGTGAAGAATCAGAGGATTCATATTTAGAGATTGTACCCAATATTCTCACATATTATTATTTGCGATCAATTTTAAGTAAATACTTAAAATTTGTTTCACAGACTGATAAATTAAAATGAAAGTTTCAAATGAATTAGCTTCTTCGGCTAAAGATAACGACATAAACAAAAATGTTAAGATTTTTCTTCTTATATGCGAGTTGCATTTGAACTTGTCACAACAAGTTACATTTTGCATACACATAAGTTACATGTTTATCAACACGAGTTACATATATCATAACACGAGTTACATCACAAAATAACCTCTCCTATTGAAACAAAAAAAATCTCAAATTATTTTTATGGCTTTGATACTAAAAATAAAACATATTCACGATTTTACGTAAAGTAATTGTGCAGTTAGACACTTTTTTTTATTGTTTACATTGAAATCAATGTTTTATTTCTTATTCTATGTATTTGACAAGTTACATTTCGACTGAACTTGAGTTACACCAGGGGCGGATGTATGCTAGGCCAGGGGTGGGCTTCAGCCCAGCCCAATTTTTTTTTTAATAGTATTGGTACATTTTCAAATCTCAGCCCAGCCTAAATTATTTGTCAGCCTACCCCACAAATAATTTGTGAATCAGTGAAGTTATGAACTTCTGCCGTGAATTTGTAAACTGTGATTAACCGATTGTGTATTAAACTATTAATGTATTAATTATTATTATTTTTAGTATTTTAGAGTTTTAGGGCTAGGGAATCATACAATCGTTTTGATTATTAATTGAATTTTTCAGTACATAATTAAATAGTTTTATTTTTTATATATATAAGTATTTTAATATATACCAATATTGAAAATGTTTTTTAGAATGGATAATGAACATGTTGCCAAGAAGGGAAAGAAGTTGATTTCATCATTCTTTTCGAAAGTGAATCGTCAAACTGGTGAAGGGAGTTCTGAACCTATACCTACAACAGTGCAAGATCTAGTCAATGAGGATCCTCCACATGTCGTAGTCTCTGAAATCCAAACTATCTCAAATTTGGATTTCAATGCTCGATAGACATGCTCGAATGTAGAAGTTTAGACTATTCTCGTTAATAGATTCATGTTCAAATTATTCAATAAGTATTCAAATTTTTATTAATCATTAATAAATTTATAAAAATTGCACTAAAACGTTTAAATTTTATGATATGTACAATAGTATAATTTATATGTGAACGATAGGCTCGTGTTCGGATCGAAACATCACTATGTTCGATCTCGGCTTGAATAATTATTCAAACTCAAAACCTACTCCGTGTTCGACTTCGAAACTTGTTAAACTCAATTCATTAAAATAGATTCGAAATCAAGCTCGAACTCGAGTATATAATTCAAAAAAATCTTTGTTCGATAACAACCTTGGGCTAAATTTGGTATGTATAGTAAAAAAAATTACTTCTGCTTAGCCCACCCCATCTCTCGATCTTGGATCCGCCCCTGAGTTACACTGATCAATAACGTGAGTTACATTATGTTACATGCGGCTTACATCATTCATGCTACCGGGACAAAAAGAAAAAAAATTACTGTTCACGCGTTACAGTTCACGCGATTTTTTTTTTTTAAATTGTGCAAACACTACGCCGTTTTGGGTGTGGAGCACGATGCTCACCGTGGGATGATCCCACCGTATACGAAGTGGGGTCAACCAGATCGGGTTCCGCTTTCTCCTTTTAGTCTTTTTCAAAAAAGAAGCCAGACCAGTCCTGTTTTTGAAGAGTGAATACTCAAAAGTGGTTTAAACCGGCTTTGAGTAGAATCTATTATTAGTACAGCTGACAAAAGGATGCCATGTATTAACTCCGATGTCAAGAAGTATGGACAGGATAGACAATTACGTAACAATACAGCCATCCACAAACGTGTCTGGTGATATTTGAACTGATTTGCTAGCTACCAGTGCAACTTAATTGATGCTGTTGAGATTGTTTTGGAGATCCCTAATAATAGATGTCTAAATTTATCACGTTTTAGCATTTGTTGAATAAGAAAGGAATGAAAATCATGTATTCAATTGTCTGCCAAAAATTGTGCGTAGCACGTACATATATAGCCTAGGTCGGCTAAGCTACAAGAAACTAGGAAAGAATCATAGTAAGAAATAATAACCTCCTTAATTACACAATATTTTCTAAGGAAATAATATAATTACTAAAAATAATAATAATAATCATAACACATGCGTAATACCTAAGATGGACCCGGGCCGGGCCCGGATGGGCTTTTTTTCCAGATACTTGGGCCCGGAATCGGCCCGGTGATAAGTTCGTATCACAACACGCATTCGATGTGCGTTGGGATCGGCTTTTGATGATTTTCCTAGCTTAAAGTTGTTATAAGTCTCAAATTCAGCTTAAGTTATGATTACCGGGCGTTGATACGATGTTGGTATCATTTGAAGTCAAAATCAGGGGAGTTGAGCCCGACACCGGCGCATGAGAAGCATTTGAAATGAGTTGATGAGCATTTTAGAAAGATTTGAAGGTCACTAGGAGGTTCGTGACGAAGAATTGATGAAGAGAAGACCTTTGAGATCGATTCGGGTGCGTTTGGATGAAGAAACGAAGAAAAACAATGAAAAAAGGTCACGCACGGTCGTGCCGAGCATTTAGGCACGCCGTGCGTGCCTTAGAGATGATCCGGTGAAGTTTGAAGCCATGCACGCTGCGCGTATTGAGGACGCACGTCGTGCGTGCGTGGCAGAAAGCTCTAGGAGGCGAAACGAGATCACGCACGCCGTGCATGCTGAGTATGCACGCCGTGCGTGCATAAGGGCCGAAGAATGAAACTCACTGAAGGGTACGCACGCCGTGCGTGGCAGGGACGTACGCCGTGCGTCAGCGCGAAACGCGCGGTTGCTTCAGACGCACGCTGTGCGTAGCACCGTGCATGGGTCCGAAACCCTAATCCTGGCCGAATTTTGCTGTGTTTCCTTTAAATATCACCTCCCTAATCCTTTTAAGGGGGGATGGAACTTAGAGAGGAGCTTAAGGACGAATTTTGAGAGCTTTTCAGTCTTGGTTTTTCAATTCTTTAAGATTCTTTGTAAGTTCATATTTTTTAATTAATGACAATTATTTCTATTTTTTTCAATTCTATTGAATCTTCAATTATGAGTCGGGAGTAGTTTTAATTAGGGATTTGGGATTGATGAAGGAGTTAATCATGATGTATGGTTAGTTTCTTGATGGTTTAATTTCATGAATGTCGTTTAATTTGTGTTTGACCAATTTATTTTTTTTTGGGATAAAATGTAAGTATATATATCCAGAAAAATAGCATAGTACAATGCATCACGTGTACAATCAAGGTGCATATCCCATAACCCGGGATACCACAAAATCAAAACTCACGCTCATACAATCAACATTTTGAACGCAAATCACAAACAGGAACAAAACAATCCAGCAAACCTAGCACAACACAAAAAAGGTGTTTCTAACTTAACACCCAAAGAAAAGTCGGAAGGGAGTAGTAAACTTTGAGGCAAAGCAAACCTCCCCTTTTTTCTTATTAACTCCCGGTAATCTCTCTAGACATTCGGTGGTGAAAGTTAGGCCTTTTTTGTCCAAGCAAACCTCCCCTTTTTCCTTAGTAGCGATTAAGGGGCCGTAAGCTCGCTCGTCTTGGCAATAATTTAGGATCCTGTCGCATCAGAGATCAGCCTGGTCCCCTAACTTGTTGTACTCTACGCCGCGAGAGTGGTAAGAACTTAGTATTGATTAGCTAGGCTCAATTAAATTAAATTCATGTAATTAGGCCTGATCTGCCAGAAATCTGATTACCCCGGAATCAATCCCTGTTCCCTTCGTCGTTAATTAAGAAGAACCCAATCAATTATTTTTATTCGCTCATTCACATTAGTTAATTTCCAAATCAACCAAATCTCGCACGACTGCATTTATTTTATTTCCGTTGTTTATCGCGGATTTTAGTTAGTCCTTAATTCCGTTTTTATCGTCCCTGTGGAGACAATACTCGTACTTTCTTCGCTATTCTACAATCTATTTTAAGTGCGAGAAAACTCACATCACCCGGGTTGATACCGGCTCCGGGCCAAACCGGTCCGGGCCGGTTCAATGTATAATTTTTTTTGGCTTTCTTGTTATCCCCCGACCCCCCCTCACCCCCACCCCCAAACCTCTCCAAAACACCCAACCCTACCCAAGGAAAAGAAAAAAATTGAAAAAAGGCCTGGTACCCAAGGGGTGAATAGACTGTATTGGTTTTTAGCTTTTTAAACTAAGTACCAGATTTTCAGAATAGCCTGTTCTGTTGAAAGAACAGACTGGCAGCGGATGGGGTTCTGGAAGGGAGTTCTGTTAGCCTCAGAAAAGCAAAGGCAGAAGGCCTTCTGTTAACTCGTAGAACCAGTTCTGCTGAACACAGATACCAAGTCCAAGGAGTTATACAGTTCTATCTAAGTGCAAGTATTAAAAGGAGTAAGTAAACGACACCAGGGATTTTTATAGTGGTTCAAGGAACAACTCGTTCCTCTAATCCACTTTCCACTAAGATGTAAAAACTGCCGTTTACAAAGCCTTAGTCCTAGCACTTAAGAAGCACTCCACGTCTTCTTCAAGTCTAGATGTGTCCTGGGATGCACTGCCTGGCTTCCTTTAACACTGGTCCTTTCACTGAGTCTCCTTGAAGTATCACCACTTCACTACTCCAGTTATTAGGACGTCCTTCTTGTAGCAAGAAGAGTTTCTGTTGAAACTGAGGTTCCTCCAACTAGCTTCGTTACAAAATATGTGTATGTGAGGAGCTGAAGAGTTGAAGAACACTTGGAACTTGCTTGAGTTGGAAAGTGTATTTTTCCAACTTC